TTCCTAACCCCACACATTATGAGAACGTCAATGCATATACACACATATCAAATACACACATACAATGAGGATGTTTATGGTCGAGAAATGTGAGCAGGCAGAATGTATCGGTGTTCTGGATCGGTGAGTCCATCCTCACACACACCCACACAAAGTGCGAGAGCAGCTAGATCACACTTCTGGTATACATTCCAGACTCACGGTTAGGTTGAGAGGTTAGGTCAGGCCTGAAGTGTCAAGAAACAAACAATTCAGTTTATAAGGGTAAATTGTTTGTGTGCTAGTGCCCACACACACACGCACACACACACATACGCACGCACACACACACTCAGATGTGAGGAACTGGTAAAGGCTTTAGGGAGCGCTCATTGAAGCAGGCAGCAAACATCAAAAAGCTCCAGCCGTGGGAGACACACGCGCACAGACAGACAGACAGACAGACAGACATACAGACAGAATCTATAGGAGAAGCAGCACAGATATTTTTCCTTGGATTTGAGAGGAAAGGGACCCCTACAGGGCCTCTACACACTCCCTCACTCACACATGAACTGTTTTGTCATATGAACTAGGAACAATGTCACAACCAAGCAGCTTCCCTCAACATCCAAAGTCTTTCTAGATTATTTTTGGAATAATGGATGTCATAAAGTCAATTCACAGAATATGTGACCCTCACACAACCAACTATAAATCATACAATGATCTCAAGTCGTCCAGTAATCCATTCCATAAGATGGTTGACTGATAAAATAAGGCCGTGCCTTAAGGCCTTTTCACACAGGCGACAAAACAATAAAAATAAACTAAATAAACTAAAGAGATCAATGGGCTCAAATTTTCGAAATTCTTCTTGCGTGATTTCTGCTCAGAAGTATTATTAATTTCTTCACACTGCAAGCTCTGAGTTTCTGATGCAGATATTTAGTTACCTATTTGTGTAGTCGCTTTTCCCAGGATAATATACAAGTGGTACAAGTGACTTCTGTCATTTCATCAAAATTGACAAAATTCCAGAGCCACGGAATTCCACAGGAATGTAAGTCAAGACAACCAAATATAAGACAGACATTGAGAAATAAAGTGGAAAATATCCAAACAATGGATTTAAGTTTATGTATCAAGTTCCCAATCTTCATAGAATCTGTTAAACTCCACAATGCCTAACTATAGAATGGGGAAAAGAATAATTCTGCATTATCTGATTTCTGATTATAAACTCATGTGACAGAATACAAAAATGCATTAGCAATGTGTACCAGATATAATGGGGAAAACATACAAACTGCCATGAGAAGGATTTTTTTTAGCTTTCATCTGATCCACATACTTTGATACGTCAGCAAGGAATTCAACAACTCTGACAGCCTTCATACAGAATGGAGACTAACTAAAGGGGCTTGTAAATATAGTCAACATCCTGATACCAGTATAATCTTTCAAATCCCATTTGACAAACCTTTACACTCAGAAGTCCTTCTGAGGTGAAATCTAAAACCAATACAACTTTTTCTTCTTCCATTTGTGAAAAATAGTGGCATACAGCTACTAACAGCCCAAAGTTAAAAGGAAGTAATAGTCATATAGGGTTCTTGCACCATTTCAAAAGTAAAATGTAATGCTTTTTAAGTCCTTTTTAAGACCTCAACAAATATAATTTAAGACCCCAAAATGTCACAATTTCTTTGGAATACGCAATTTATTGCCTCCTACAATGGAAATCAAAACTTTTTTTCAAATTAGGACACAGTATAATAACTGACAATAACCCTTCCAACACTGTTTGGCCAATATAGAGGTAAACAATCAAAGTGATTCCTTTGTGATGCAGAACAGAGCCAACATAACAACATAAATTTGGATTACACTAAACAACACAATGCATTGCGAATCGGGGAACATGGCAGCAAAGACGCCACGTATGTCATCGTTAGATTTAAATGAATTGTGCCCCGTCACAGTATGGAGAACCCACAGTACCTCTGCCTTTTGGGTGTCTGGTGTTGAAATGAAACCCGTTACAGCCGACTGAGAGGTGGCGTCTGAACTTGTAACATCGTTGCAGGGATTAACCTGGCCCCGCTATGGCTAGCTGCTGCAACGTATCGCTGGTGCTTTCCTCTTTTCATGGGCGACTCGACGGCTTTGAGCCCCATGGTCCCTAATGAAAAGGTCTTTTTGTAAAGTTGACACATTGCCTCATTGTTGTTTTCAATCGGCGCCAACCACCTGCTAAATACATCCTCTTCCATCCACTTGTGGTTAAATTTGCACTTCCCCATCTTCTTTGCATTTTCAACCTCACATCGACAACCGCGTAATGGCGACCTTTATTCATTCATATGCAGACATTTCCTATGAGTATAGACAAAAAACATGTATCTTTCAATAAAGCTGCCCCAGCCTGTACAGTGACACTAATAACAGCACTTTCTAAATAGCCCGATCACTTGAAAAAAACAACCAAATGTCTCCCACAAAATGGGTTACTTCATGTTTTCCTCCAATCAGCGAGACAGGTGGTTAACGTGCTGTGGACAAGTTTTGATTTCACTAAAATAAAAGCTATAACAACACATTCTAACAGAAGTAGTTTAATCAGTGTGGTTTCAAACCTAATGCTTAGTCTACTGCTGAATTCATACCGAAAGCGAAGCAAATGCAGAGGAGGCGAATTTTCAACGGGCACCGCGGAGGACGCAAGGGACGCGGCGGACGTGAAAAAGTGAATGAAGCGAAGTGAATAAATTGCCTTTTCACCAAAGTTGAAATATTTCACCTTTTGTTCGACCACAAATTCGCCCGAAGCTGTCCCGTTTGGTGTAAACGTAGCATAAAATGTTGTTAAGTGATAACATTTCCTCTGATTAGTTTACTCAAGAGAGGGAATTATTATAGCACCGCAGAAAGTTGGCAACTTGTGTGAAGAGGAAACCAAACAGGCCTTACAATGTAACAGACAATGTGAATGTACTGAAAATGGACACTTGAAGATCACACGCGGGAGTCAATTGACCCCCATCCTGAAGAGCTGAAGCCTGAGGAGTGACTGACTGTCAATGGCTACTCAGATGCCAGCAGTGTCCTTCTTTACCCTGAATATAGAGGAGGCAGCTGGCCAAGATTCAATGATGAGCTGATAGAACAGTGACTGAGCAGGAATTTGGGAGGAATTCGAAGGATTCAAAGAAGTGATGATGATGCAGTGTTGTTCAGGCAGCATGAGAATGGGACCATTTGTTCAAAGTCAAATGCTACTCATTGTATTAAAGACTGAGAATGCGGCAGCATGCATCCTTAGCCTGTAGTCCAATGTTAGCCAACCAATCGCAGAGGAACACTAGTGGCTGACCGCAACAAATGTCCTCTTTCAATGTCTATCCTCATTGTCACTAAATGCAGACTCTGTTACAAAAATGTGTCATGAATGAGAAATTATGACCAGTGTCACCCCCCCATCACAAGGCCTGTTGTTTGACAATGTTCAGAGATAAACAACATATTTCTTGTTTCACTGAACAGCTAGGGAGTAGGGTTAGGTAATGAAAAGGTCCATCAATTTGGTCAAAGAAGATACACTTTACACAAGAACTGCCAGACCTTCATTTTGGAATCCAACACAATAAAATGATGCAATGTCTGCTTGTTGAACATTATAAATTGTGCTACAGGACCTAATTCCTAACTCAAATTCAGATTGGCTTAGGGTTTGTTGTTGCATAAAGCTTTGTGCTTTGATCAGTGTAAAGACAGTCAATGTGTGGCAGGTTCCACGTTCAACTGCATGGTGATTCACTTTTGTTATTTCATTGATTTCAAAGTTGAGGGAATTTCCAGCGGTTGAGTAAAGCTAACTAATATGATTATTACTGCCTTATTATGCCACTAGGTGGACTGCTATGGTGCTATGCTGTAATATTTAGCATTATGGGAGAATTTGCATTTCTGCCATGCCAGTCTCAACTGCTGTAGACAATCGGAAGCCTCCCTAATCGTCTCTAAATGGGCCATCCTCTGATCCCAATGTGTTCTGTCTGTGTACTCTTACTGCCAGCACCTTATTCAAGTGACTGCCTGTGCTTGCAAGCAATCACTTAAAATGTGGAACTCTTCTTGCATATTTACATGTCCCTGTGCATGCACGCATACACATGGGTGTGCCTGTGCACATTCTGCATGTATTGATACTATTGTTATTGATTGATTCATACATATATAGATACTGTACATACCGATGGACAGCGGTTGTGGGCTATTTATAGAGCAGCTATACCAGCTCACCATATGTGTCAGTTGCTGCTCTCAAAATGGCCACAGAATGCCCAAGTGACAGCAGGAAAACTCGGTGGGAGAACAATTTACAGTGCCTGCTCACAAGATCAGAGAGAAAGTGTATGTGTGTGTGACAGGTTGGAAGCCGCTGGGCATGTTTGTCACCTAACAGGTTTACAAAATTTACAAGTAGGAAAATGTGTACACCAAGCTGAATCCGAAAGGTTAAAACACACACACACACACACACACACACACACACACACACACACACACACATACACACACACACACACACACACACACACAACACACACCGACAGACAGATCTCCAACAAGTATGTTCAGCACAAACCTGTATCCCACCGAAAGCAATGACTTGTTCCTGAGCAAATCCCTTTCAATGTGTGTGTACATGTAGGCATGTGTGTGTATGTGTGATAGGACTTGGAGAGAGACAGTGAGGGAGGGAGAGAAAAACAGAGAGCACAACTGATTTGAGTGAACCTCAACAGCAAGGATAATAGTCAAGGATATGGGGCTATCCATTCACACGGATGGTGTGGGAGTTAGTGTATGTTCTACCAGAGGGCAAACAGAAATCATAATGAATTCCTCCAGCAGGGCAGAGCAGCAGAGAGGTGGGCGAACATGAGACCTGAGGGTCTCTCTCTCTCTCTCTCTCTCACTCACTCACTCACTCACTCACTCACTCACTCACTCACTTGATGAAGCAGCGAGCTCCCTCAAATGTGTATCCTTCCTCCCATCCTGTTGGTAAATCTGGTAGGGCAGAAAGAAAACACAAGCATTGAAACATTACAGCTGTGCAGGGACGCAAAGCTGTTTACAAACAAAACGCACACACACGCGCACCCGCGCATGCACGCACAGCATTGCAGTGTCTGGACTACAAATAGCTCGTGTGGAGTGTGCCCTTTGACGCCATCCGCGCCCGCCACCCAATAAGCAGAGCAGATCCTGTAGCCCCCTCGATCGTTCTGTCAATACGTGCACTGCTGCTCAGCCTCCAGCTGTTGGACCGCACTGCTGATCTCCATGTTGCCGTCCTCTTTCTTCTTGCAGCAGAAGTGTCTTTGCTTTAGAAAAATGGGCTCTGCGTCAAAACACTGCGTATATTATCTGAAATAAGCTGCCTGACGCCTACGTGACGGAACTTTTAAAAAGTGTCCAGGTTGAGAGGGGGGCGTCATAGTCCGCCAGTAGAGGAAAACGAGTGGGGAGCGGAGCGGAGCTGTTGCCTTGCTGCAGAGAACAATTCTGCCCTCATTGGCTTTAGCGGTTCCCTCCGCAACTTGTCGCCCTTTTTCTCGCCGTGACGCGTGGACTACCTTTACCAGATGCTGCGCGTGTACGTGCGTTTTGCACGGGATTAAGAACAACACATTTTCCGATTGTTTACCTTGAGTTTTTCTGTGCCCCGTGATTACAGCCTCTCCCGTTACAGGATGCAACCAGGTTGTGCTCTTCGCTTCTTCGCTGTTGGTGGAGGAACATGGGGGGAAAAGGTGAATAGATCGAATGCGTTGGAGTCATAGGCAGTGCGTGTGAGTAAATCCATGTGTCTGCTTCATATTTACTTGATGAAGAATATGCGTCCATCCCGAGTCACCCCATTACTCCAAGAAGAGGGAAGGCAGGAGAACCAGTCCGGCTTGGGATCCGCCGCCATGTCTAGCTTAGAGCTCCACTGCTCAGGGTGAACGTTACTACTGAGTGCGCAGCGCCGTGCCAAGCCCGCGCACGTACTCTCCCTCGCGCGTTCTTACACGAGCTGGGAACGCGCTTCCAGGACGAAGACAAGTAATGATTTTCTGCCACATGAGGGCAGCACATTTTTACTATTAATGGAATGAATCCCTTTGGATTTTGAAACTCGTGTCAATCCCCTCCCGTGAGAAGCCTCGCCCAAGTCTGTAAAGCATGACACATGCACCTTTGACCTACATGCATATACATTATTCCAAAAGACAGGACAAGATAGGAATTGTTTTTCTTTTTTAGATTTTCAGGATGCTGAAAAAAACTCTGACATAACAAGCTTATTAATCGAAAATATTGTATTTTGTGATGTGAAATTGTATTTGGAATTTACACAAATTGTCCATCCATCCATCCATCGTCAAACCGCTTATCCTGCACACAGGGTCGCGGGGGGGCTGGAGTCCATCCCAGCCAACTTCGGGCGATAGACAGGGTACACCCTGGATTGGTCACCAGCCAATCGCAGGGCAACACAGAGACACACAACCATTCACACTCACATTCACACAACTACGGGCAATTTAAAGTCCCCAATCAACCTGATCCCCAGAGCATGTCTTTGGACTGTGGGAGGAAGCCGGAGAACCCGGAGAGAACCCACGCAGACACGGGGAGAACATGCAGACTCCACACAGAAAGGCCACTGGGCGGAATCGAACCCAGGACCTTCTTGCTGTGAGGCGACAGTGCTAACCACCACACCACCGTGCCGCCCTTTTTTACACAAATTGTAAAATTGTAAATGATTCAGTTGAATGCACGTTGTACCAAAATAATCCATCATGCTGTGTGTTTATGAAAACACAAGGCAATTCGATTTTTTTGTGTTTTTTTCAACGGATGTTGACAGCGAGCTTCTTTCCGTTGAAAAGACATTTGAAAGACGTTCGTGGCCAGCATTGAAAATTGGTTCAAAAGTGAAGAGTTTTTTGTAGATGTTGAAACAACGTCTACGTTTAGACCACATTTCAAAGTGATTTTTAATACTGATTGTTTCATCCACTACTTTGTGCTACATCATTTCTTTAGAGGTTTACATAGAGACAACGTCCGCCTTTTACGGCCAATGTGGAAAATCACGTTGGAAACTGTGAAAAAAGTCTTTTCAATATCTGTCATAGACGTCTTTTAAATGTATTTTCAACGGAAAAATGCTTACCCGGAACTTACCAGTTACATACTTATTCACAGTTGTCATGTTAACAGCCCTTAACAAGGACAAACAGACACATTACTATATTAATTTGTATGTGATATTAATAAACACTATAAATCAAGACTGAATAAAGAATAAAATATATTTCAGAGAGAATTAAGTTAATTCATAATTCTGTGTTTGGAGCACATTTTTCTGAATCTTTGGAACTTCATTTTCAGATTCTGTAACAAGATGTCAGAAGGGAAGACAGAATGGACATCCCTCAAGTGCAGATATGGGAGGTTCCTCTGCGTCAATATTTCAATTGAATTCAAATGTTATTTTGTATAGCCCAAAATCACAAATTAGCCTCAGTAAGCTCTACAGTCTGGAAACATCCTCTGTTCCAAAACCCTCACAGGAAAACCTCCCCCAAAATGAAAAAAAAAACCTTCAACTGGGAGAAAGCTGCGGGGGAACGGCAGAAGATTAGGTGTGTACAGAATAAACAACGTACGTTCAATTCCTACGACAGAAATTATTCAAATATTGAGAGTAGTAAGGCAGAACCACTGCACCACAGAAACCTGTGAGGAGGGGAAGCACGACTTTAGGGAAGAAGCAAAGTAGGTCATTAGGGTTTATGATGACAGTAATAGTAACGTGACTAATAATAATAATGATGATGATGATGATAACAGCAGCAGGTATGTTAGAACCCTCATTTATAGATGTCTCGGAACCCTTGTGTGTAAAAGATTCCTCTGGTTCATCCACCATTGTGTTCAAAGTAGCTACAGCACATATGTCAAACTCGAGCAGGGTCTGTCAGCACGACCAATAACAGAAGATTGTAGGTCCCTACGCATGCGTGGCCGCTTCCGACAGACAGCAGGCCGTGCTGTTCTCTTATATCGATTCGTCCCCCCCGTACCGTTCGCCACCCCGTGAATTCAGCCCTTCGCCCATGCATATTCAGCCCCCATTGCTTGAAAAAGTGTATTTTTGATATGAAATGGGCAAGGCAATAATATTGTATGGGTACAGCAACCACCCAAAGCTGGGATGTTTACTTTTTAGCATGCTAACTTGCAAACTACATAAGTTACCACTAACTCGCATAGACAAAGTTTTTCTGACCAGTTCATCAATTATTATGAACATCTTAATGATACTACTGTCTGTCTTTCAACCTTACGTTACATTACAACAGAACACATTAACTAAATGGTGTTTTCTGGCACGAAAGCTGGGTGTTTAGCCCTCATTCCAACCCAATTGCAACCAGATTTCAACAACAGACAACAGATGTCTAGTGCTAACTGGGTATATTCATCCTCCTTTGGTCGCCAAGTGCAAAGTCGATCTGAGCTTTACAGCGTAATTTGACATGTGCTTTGTGATAGCGGCAGGCAGGTTGTTCAAATCACAGTATCCCGTTGAAGTCCAAACAGTCTGACTGTTATATTGTCCTGTACACAAGATGTCACAGACGGGTATAGGCAGAGGCAGGACTCAAACGCAGAGTTCAAACAGAAAAGGACTTTAATAGTCAAAATCAAACTCAAAAAATGCCAAGGGGCAAAAACGCAGACGGGGACCTGGAACTCACAACAGTCAACAATGACGCGACAAAGGACAAAAGACACACAAGGCTTAAATACACAGGTAAGGAGCAGGTGACTGGTCACAGGTGGAAACAATCAGACACTCACAGGAAAAGGTAGGAAGTCAAGTCACCCAGGGACACCCACACCGTGACAGTACCCCCCCACCTCCCCTCAAGGGACGGACCTACAACACAACAGGGGCGGGCGGGACCGGCTGAAAACTGACAACAGGATGAGGCGGAGAGGACCAGGGGACGAGGGCCAGGCGGACGGGGAACCTCTGGGGGTCGGCCCGGTGGGCGGACAGGAGCCGGGCTCTGGGTCACGGGGAGCTGGGCTCGAGGGCGCCGGCTGCAGGGGGTCGGGCAGCCCTAGGAACTCCAGCGGGCGGGCCGGAGGAAGATGAGGCGGCCGGGGAGCCTCCGGTGGGCGGCCCGGAGGAAGATCAGGCAAATGTGACCGTTGACTTCGAATTTACAACTAAAGAGGATACTAACATTGTATCAAGTGAAATGTGTCGCTCTGTCACCAGAGACAACCTGTCCAAACATACCTTTCTCCTACTAAATTACATTCCAGTATCACTAAACTAAAATCTCATACATTTCGAGGGACATGTTTTTACCAACATGCTAGAGAGCAGGTAGTCTGTTGGAATGGTTCCCAACCCAATTCCAGCCTGATGGTGAGCATCTGTCCACAGCTTCAGAGATAACACTGAGGGGTCACATGAAAGGTAACAGAAAAAATAACAAATGAATCTCTTTATTGTTCTTGTGAGATTTTTTAATTTATTTTCTAGATGTAAAATATTCTAGACTACAGTCCTGGCCCTTTGACGTCTTCGGTCTAAGAACAGATTGATTTAGGATTGAAGAGTGACAAATGAACCGAAACGAATGAATCAAACATCCCTATTCTTAAACTCATTAAAGAATAGAGACATTAAGAATCTCATTATTTATTGCTTAATGAACAACACATGTTCACTTTTCCGTTGTATGAAAATAGATGATTTAAACAACTATGGTTTCAAATTAACCATGACCATCAATTGAATTAAACACCAGCCTTAAATGCATCTGTCTCAACAACTGAGATTAAACAGGTGAATATCATTAAATCTATTTGGTGAGCTTAGTCCGATTCGGATGAATATTTTCAGTCTTGAGGACTGATGTGGTGCACTTGACTTTCACCACTTGACTATTTTAGCTATAACATGCTAAATATGTCATTTGATACTGGCTGCCTCCCTTTCTGCTTTTTCACTGCGGTGTTGTGCATTAGCAACACTAACATGTCAAAAACATAGGTGGAATACATAAATATGGAATGTGAGGACATATAATTCAAGTGTGCATGAACATTACATTGGTGACATACAGAGACATTAATTGGAGGTGGTCAAATTGAGCAAAAAAAGCAGCAGCTCAACCCAGTTTTTGAGGGATTGCGCAATCCGGAGGGTCAGCTCGTTGCTGCCTCCTCCCCATATTTGAACAGGAAAATACACAAATTCATAAGGGAGGTGGTGCCTCCCATAAATATTTTTTAGCTTGTATCCATTGCAAGAAATAAAGTAGTGCATTTGCTGCTGTGGTTTATATTTATCGTGGCGGCTGGTGGAATTTATTTTTGGTAGGGCCAGCTAATTAGTTGCAAAAAATGGTATCAAACACGCATTATTACTTTGCAGTTAAATATTTCCAACAGTTTAACATAATTAACGGAATTATCCGTGTGTGTCCTGGGTTTCTTCATCGTTTTCTTTTCCGACGCGTGCCTCATGTCCCTTAATCCCGTATCTGTCTATGCTGGATTCTGTCCAACAAGACGATTACCTTTTCTATCTAAATTGTATACGTTTTGGGTGTCCTGTCAAGCAGAGCAGGTTGCTAGGCAACAGAAGCGGCGGAAGGAAATTGATGACGCAAGCAGGAAGACCCTATAGGGCAGACGTCCCCATTTCAGAAACCGCTCGGTTCAGTTTATGCCTTGTTTGAGGAGCCAGACCAGGGCCCTTTCTCAATACCCTAAGACAGCGAGAGACGATTTTTTTGTTCTCGGGAGGCCAAACACACGGGTACGGGAGAACGGTCATTTCCGCAATAGGAGCAGCAGCTGACTTGATGACATCACCACGTCACTCGGTCTTGATGATACATTTAAAACAGTTCTTGACTGTTAAGTATTTTTACTATCAAGCTTTTGCTTAGATTGAAATAGAAATACTGTAACCTATGTATAATGGAACACCGGAGTAAAAATTACATTTTCAGGATCAGGAATCATTTATTGCCCTAATATGTCAGACATACAAGGAATTTGACTTGGCGGTTGGTGCGTAACAACAGCCGACATTGGACGACAAGACAACAGTGCACGAGGAATAAAATACATTATAATGCAATGGGTTAGTATGGCTATGGGTTAGTTTAAAAATAAAGGAATAAAAGTTAAAGTTAAAAATATTTAAAAATAAAATGCACCAGCGAACAGAAAGTGACAAGTGAAAGTGACATGTGCAGTGTGAAGGGGAGAGACCGGTGGAATGTTAGTCAGTCAGTGGGGGACCGGGCTCTGTTGATGAGCCCGACTGCCGACGGGAAGAAACTGTTGGTGTGGCGGGAGGTCTTAGTCCTGATGGACCTCAGCCTCCTGCCAGATGGAAGGGGCACAAACAGGTTTTGTCCGGGGTGAGAGGGGTCGGCTACGATCTTTTTAGCTCGCTTCAGGGTCCTAGAAGCGAACAAGTCCTGGAGAGACGGCAGATTGCAGCCGATCACCCTCTCTGCAGAGCGGATGACACGCTGCAGCCTGCCCTTGTCCTTGGCTGTTGCTGCAGCGTTCCAGACGGTGATGGAGGAGCAGAGGATGGACTCGATGATGCACCATCATCGTCTTTGGCAGGTTGAATTTCTTCAGCTGCCTCAGGAAGAACAACCTCTGCTGAGCCTTCTTGGTGATAGAGCTGATGTTCTGCTCCCACCCAAATGGCATGAGACACAGATGAGGTTCTGGTACATTTAAAATGTAATTTATTATGATGTTGGTGTTTTTGCTTAACGAGGACTACAACACTTATTGTCCTCTTAATGTTTGAATTTGAGTTACAACAGTGGTGTGTATGCGGAATAATATTTTTTATCCATTAAAAAAGATGAACTGATGTTGTTGCTATCAAAGCATCTCTGTACTTCATGAAATGTTTACAAAGTTAGTGCCATGTGATGTAACACATGGCACAAAATTACAGCCCTGAATTAAGCCCTGTTTACCTCAATAATGTTTTATGTATTTGTTACATCCAATAATATGCACCTGTCACTAAAGTTCAGCAGCATCACAAATTACAGCTGCTCCTCTTTATGTTCTTTAGAAAGATGTAAGACAGTACAGCAAATCGGATCTGATCCATCAAGATATTTTGGATAATTATTTTATGTATGATTGTATATATACTCTGTTTATATATACGTCTATATATACTGCAGACCTCTACATAGTTCCAACAACATTGTCAAGTTTGCAGACAACACGACGGTGATTGGCCTCTTCAGCAACAACGATGAGTTGGCCTACAGGAAAGAGGTCCAGCACTTGGCTGTGTGGTGCGCAAACAACAATCTGGTACTCAAGACCAAGAAGACCAAGGAGCTCATTGTCACCAACAACGGGACGGAGGTTGAGTGTGTTCTTAGCTTCAAGTTCCTCGATGCCCACATCTCCGAGTACCTCACTTGGACCCTCAACATCTCAACCCTGGTCATGAAGGCTCATTAGCGCCTCTTCTTCCTGAGGAGACTAAAGAAGGCAAGGCAAGGCAAGGCAATTTTATTTGTATAGCACTTTTCATACACAAGGCAGACTCAAAGTGCTTCACATTATAACATTTCATACAATAAAGTGAAATAAAATGCAGGAATTAGAAGACAATTAAAAACAGCAAATAAAATTATGATTATTTAAATTGTTTAATTAAAAGCAGAGGTTAAAAGTGCAATGTAGGTAAAATTTAGCAGAAGGCGAAGCGGAACATAAAAGTTTTCAGTCTTGTTTTAAACGTGGTCAGAGTTGGGGCAAGTCTTAAATCTTCAGGAAGTTTATTCCAGCTGTTTGTTGCGTAGTAACTAAATGATGCTTTCCCATGATTTGTATTTACTCTGGGAATCACTAACAGATTGGTGTCAGAAGATCTTAGTGATCTTGAAGGCTTATGTAGTGGAAGCATATCAGTGATATACTTTGGCCCTAAACCATGTAGTGATTTATATGTGAGCAGTAGGATTTTTAAATTAATTCTCTGACATACTGGGAGCCAATGTAAGGATTTAAGAATTGGTGTAATGTGCTCACATTTTTTGGTCTTTGTTAGAACTCTAGCAGCAGCGTTCTGAACAAGCTGGAGCTGCCTGACAGTTTTTTTGGAAGACCTGCAAGGAGACCATTACAATAGTCTAGCCTACTAGTTATAAAGGCATGTACAAGGGTTTCTAAGTCTTGAGCCGACATGAGCCCTCTAAGTCGTGCGACATTTTTGAGGTGGTAGTAGGCCGATTTTGTTACTGATTTGATGTGACTCTCCAAGTGTAAATCTGAATCCATAATAACCCCCAGATTTCTGGCTTTATTTGATGTTTTCAGGGACAGAGAGTGAAGGTGTTGGGTTACTTTAAACCTTTCTTTTTTAGCACCAAATACAATGATCTCAGTTTTGTCTTCATTTAGTTGTAGGATATTTTGACACATCCAGTCTTTGATTTGCTCAATGCACTGGCACAGAAGATCTATGGGGCGATAGTCGTTTGGTGATAGCGCTACATAGATTTGGGTGTCATCAGCGTAGCAATGGTGGTCAATTTTATTTCTTTGCATGATTTGTCCTAGTGGGAGCATGTAGATGTTGAATAAAGTCGGCCCTAAGATCCAACCTTGGGGGACTCCACACGTTACGTCGGTTGTTTCTGATACGAAGTCACCAATGGAAACAAAATAGTTCCTGTCTTGTAGATATGACCTGAACCAGCTTAAGACTGTGCCTGAGAGCCCCACCCAGTTTTCCAACCTGTCCAAAAGTATTGAGTGGTCGACAGTATCAAATGCAGCACTGAGGTCTAATAGCATTAATATTGAAGTTTTGCCAGAGTCTGTGTTAAGACGGATGTCATTTACAACTTTAATAAGGGCCGTCTCGGTGCTATGAAGAGGTCGAAATCCTGACTGGAAGTTGTCGTGGCAGCCAGTTGAAGCCAGGAAGTGATTAAGTTGTTGTAGGACAACTTTCTCAATTATTTTGCTTATGAAAGGTAGATTTGAAATTGGTCTGTAGTTGATAATAGAGGCATCTAGGCTCCGCTTTTTTAGGAGAGGTTTGATAACTGCAGTTTTGAAAGCTTTTGGGAAATGGCCTGTCTGAATAGAGTTATTAACTATTTGCAATACGTCTGTTGCTAGGCAGTCAAAAACATTCTTAAAGAAGTTGGTAGGTAGAGCATCAAGACAGCAGGTGGATGGTTTTAAATTTGTCACCGTTTCCACTAGAGTTTGAGAGTCTATGGCATTAAAGCTTGTCATCATTGCTGTGTTACTTTTGCCTAAATAGGGTGGTGATACAACATTTTTGTTTGAGATATTAATGGCGCGTCTGATGCTTTCAATTTTATCAGTATAAAAGAACGCAAACTCGTTGCATTTCTGTGTGGAATGGAGTTCAGGTGGTATTTGTGTCGGGGGGTTGGTCAGTCTGTCAACAGTTTCAAATAGGGTTTTTGCCTTATTAGTGTTGTTGTTGATGATGTTGGAGAAGAATGGAGTGGCTCGGGGAACGGTGCCCGGAGGAGGCATAATTGGCCTCAGGTGGAATTAACGATGTCTCTATGCTCTGCCTTAAGAAGGGGAGATCCGGCGACAGGACAGAGAGTGTCTGGCGGAGAAGCTGGAGCCGGACGCACGTCGTTTAAGGCAAAATAGAGACCTGCAAAATAAAGACTGTTAAAACGCCACGCTGTTTCCTCGTCTTTCCACGTTCCCCCAAGGACCGCACGTTACAATGCTAAACTGCATTTCCTTGTCTCAGTACCTGTACACTGCAATGACAATGAAGTTGAATAAAAAGAAGCCAAAGATCACAGGACTCAATGACGTCAGACCCGTCGCAAATAGTTCTTAGTTTTAACAGCCCTAATATTAATTAACAAATTTAACGCAATAATCTATATAATTAATGTGGCCGACATTAATGCTTTGTTTACTTCAAGCAACCGATTAATCACAATTTATGAATATCAAAATGTGCGATTAGTTAATTTATTAGAATCTATTGACAGCCCTAATTGATAATATCCATAAAGTTCACAGCTAAACCATTTAATTTAGAGAAAATAGTAAATTAAAATCTAACCATTTACTCAACCTTAATGTCATGTATTCATCCATTTTTGTATTGTTGTTACTGATAGTTTGACCATCCATATTTAGGAAGAATTTACTTCGGTCATACTCACATTTTTATGGTAAAAAGAACGTGGCATGTACGGTCATTAAGATAACTTTGATCTCACTCAAAAGATTTTTTTTTATTTTTTAGGTTTTCACTATTGAATAGGTTTTAAATCAAGAAAAAAAGAAAGATGTGAAGAAGGAAAAGGTCCTGGGAATGTCAACGTATTCTAATGCATTGTTAAAACGGCACATCTCCTTAGAGCAATACGGGTTTGTGGGCACATTACAGTGATAGATGCGACTACATCGTGGATAGAACACTTCAAGGTAAGCAGAACACACAATACCCCACCTGTACAAATGACACATTAACCAAGCTACTGTTTTCATGCATTTTTCTTTAATATATCAGTTTTTCATATTAACAACAAATACATTAAGCTCTTTCTCCTTATAATACAGCCTTAAATATTTTTACACTCAACTGTTTTTTTTTTCACAGAAGTTTGGCTATCAAAAAGTATTTTAACCTTCCATATCTTTATTTTGAACATTTTATATTTTGTTACATTTGTAGTCTCCATGCCTCCTAGCAAACTGACATTGTCCTCTTTGTACAAGTATTTACAGGTGAAAAAACAAACAAACACCAGTCATCACAACAGTTGTCCATGAAGTTTTTCATTAAAGTTCTCAATTGAAAAAAAAAACATGATGGGAGGAGGTGCATGTTCAAGGAGAGAAAAAAAAAGGTTTTGTATGAAGAGAAGATAGAGGATGTGTATGGCGAGCAAAGCCTTAGTGTTTACTCCTAACGGTCCTATGACGGGTATAATCCGGTATATAGGTCGGTACAATGGTTCAATGTTGCCCTGGGAAAAACCTGGTAGTTACCAAGATCAAAAGCTCTAAAACAAGCAAATAAGTTAACCTTGAGTTGAGCTTGTATCATTAACCAACCACAAGGTTGAGAATGAACATTTCAACATTTAAGCAAATACAGAAATGTACAAGAAATCCTTGCAAACTCACTGACTAAAGCTGCTTTGACTTCATCTAAAAAGAAAGAAATCTAGGTATGATACTAGCCTTGAATCGGAATTCTGTTGAAAAAGACAACTAAGAAGTCAAATTTGAATTGTAACAAAATCTAGTCAAAACAATCTGTAGAAGTCAATGATAAAAGTCAAGAATTCAGTTTTTTCCTCATTTTTCTTAAGGTACCAGTGTTGTTGCTATTTTTTGGAGTATCTCCAAAAAGTTACTGATACTTATATCTTGAGTGATTCAAAGTCTCATTTACAAGCTCATATCTTTGAGGGGGCAATCGTCTGCTGAAAAGACCCACATCATGTCAGCTCAGGTTTCTCAGAGGGGAGCTCTGAAAAATCTGAAGCGTTGCATGACTGAGGGATATGCAATATTGTAAAAAAGGCCTACATCGTCTCTATAGATCAGTCTAACCTTTACCTGCATACCAGTGAAAGTCAAGTATGGGTTAGAAGCCCTTAGAATCTATGGGTGAAACCAGGCCACTACAAGGTGTTTCTTGGAGAGTGCACTCCAAAACCCCCAAAACACCGGTTTGTGCTTAACAAGTGTCTGCAGTGCAATGGACAAACATGAAGGCATGTGCTGCTTAGACCGGCACATGTTGGAAGAAAACAAAGCTCCATGTGAACATTACTTCTGAAACAACAAGAACCTGGGTAATGGAATAATTCCTTTATGCGGTGTCCAAACCAAATGCAAATTCGAACCAATTGCAGAGCAAACTTTCACCTTATGAGATACACCAGTTACAGTTCAAAATTAGTGCATCTTTGACACCAACCTTTCTGATTGGCTAAATGTATGTGGTTTACTACAGCTGCATGCACCCACAATAGAGGTTTAGCTGTAATGTGATTACAATAAACGGATCAAAAAGATGCCAAAATCACTGTATCACCATGCCAATTTGTAAAGTCTGAGACCTTGAATTCATGTCTCGTCAGGTTTATCCGCAAGACAACAAGCAAACAACTTTTAAAATGCTTATTTTCTGAATAGAGTTTGGCTCAACTAGGGCTAAGCTAACATTGTAGCCTCTCCAACACAAAATAATGTAAATTACTTCACTGACGTAATTAAATACATGGATAAACATAAATTCACCTTCAGTCTGTACAAATATGAAGTAATATCTTAGGAGTTCTGGGTGCCGGCCAGAATGTTAAAAATACAATACATGGTGATTCAGTTTGTTTAGCCATTCCTTAGATATGGAAGAAAAATATGAAAAAAAAGAAAGAAAGAAATTTAACAAAAACAAGTCCCTTCTTTAGATTAAATCCTGTTTGTCACTATTTAGCATATTCAAACCCACATAGTTAATTGCTGCTAACACTGCCAAGTTTTTATTGTGGACATGTTTATTGTGAAACATGTTTTGACAAATGACTAGTGTTGTACGAGTCTCCCCTGCCCCCATGCTGCCACTCTTGGTTATGCTACGCTAAACTTCCCACGGCCCTATCTCTGTCCTGTAGGCACAAAGATGAGAGGCAACAACATTTGTGAGGACACTGCGCTGGGGCTGGTTAATGATGGAAAGACAAAAAATTCATAATGAGATGAACCAGTCTGATGGTGTTTGGCTAGATGTGCAAGTGTTCCAAATCAATATGCCTTCATCAGACTTCACCAGTGCAGGTACGGACATACGAAATACTCAACTTTATCAAAGACACTCGTTAAAGAAGAACAGAGTTCGCGGGAAAATATTCAGCTCATCCCCTGCTGATGGCTCATGCATTGGAAATTTTGTTTTGGGTCATCAGCTCTGGACGTCACAATTTATTCTTTAATAAAAAAAGGCAAGTTGCTCATTTGCTTCAATCCATCCAAGTGCAAGTGCACATGTCACAAAGGGTAAACAAGCATCAAAAGACCAAAACAAAAAAGAATCGTAAATGAGTAAATATCTGCAGGCCTGCCTGTACAGAAAAAGGCAAACACTGATGAAACAAATAAAAACAACCTGTAATAACACCTGAAACAGTCAACACACTGAAATTAAATAAGGTATTGGTGCATGTGTGTAGATAACGTAAATGGTGCGATTGAAATAACATTTTCAAACTTTTTGTTACCAACAGATCTCTCCGGAGGATCACTGTTCCTTTCGGCAGGCAACACTGAATACCATCTGTCAGCAGCTGCGTGATGTCCCTATCGGTAGGTTGAGTGCAATATTAAAGCCACGTGAAAAAAAACAAAAGAAAAAAAATATATAAAAGTCTGAGGTTGGGTTTAGTGGATATAAAAAAAATAAAAATAAAAATAAAAAGCTTTGCTGTAAAGATGCTGTGTCACAAGTGACTGTACACTCCAAGTCAGTGTAAAGGCAGACTATTAGCTTGGCTTTGACCAGGCTCTTTAAACAAAATAAATCCTCCTCCCCCCATAAACAGCTTCTAGTAGAACATAACAGAACACTGTTCCTTTCGCATTAACATGAAAAGGTAAAGCGCCTCTTTTGAACACCGCTAGCGCGGTCTAATAAAAAGCATATCATTTGGTTGGTTAGACCAGGCTTTTTTTAATGAGACATCCCTTTCGTAAATCTTTTATTACCCCACAAATTAGCATTTTTCCTTCCAAATAAAGGCTTCTATTTTTGTCAGTAGATAAACAGCTGTTACCGTTTTAGGTAAAAGGTATTTCCCGGAATTTCATTACTTAACGGTATGGGTTCATTATGTGCGTGACCGGAAAAAAAGCTTTCTTCTCATATAGACAGAAAAAACGGTCAGCATTCTAAAAATCGGAAAAAAAATAGAAAATAAAAACAGATCTATCTTTCTAGTCAGTCTTCCATTAGGGGAAACCCTGTTGAGTTACTTGGAGCACATCCTGGGGATTGGTTAACGCCGGTCTTACACGTGGCCTTTTATTTCGATAGGCGGACAGCAGGCCCTTACTCCTCCCACAAGCCCGTTTCTGCAGTCCCTCAAAGAGCAGTCCAGCACCTTGCTGACAAACACCTTACCTGCAAAGGAAATGATGGCACCAGGAGCACTCTAGACTTCCACATCTTGATGATTTGCCTCCATCTCTCCTTGCTTTCGTCTTTTCCCCCAGCAGGTAAGTCCATCTGTTTGACGTCACCTCTTCAAAACCATTTAGGTACGGATAGCTGTGTGTCTTGTTTTTTTCCAATTTTTTGATTGTGTTTTTTTTCTTTTTGTAATGAGTTGTGTCTTTTGATTTTTGCCTGGTGGACAGCTTTTGTTGTAAGGAACCAGTGAGGCTTCCTTCTTCAGGTTGAAATAAGATATTTTTTTCAGTAATGGATGAATCCACGGCATGGGCATGAGACTTTTCAGAAGTGACGAAGAGAGATGGACTTTTGGGATCTGCAACACTTACTTAAATGCCGAAAACTCCCCTAAAAAGAGACAGAGAAGATTAGTGTGTTGCCACAGGAATGTCAATTATTTTTCTATAAGCATCATTACGATTGATGGTTCTCCATGGAAACACGGCCTAGTGTTAATTGATAGCTGTGCATAACAGCTTTCTTAGGCGTCGACACTACAAAACTAAACTACATTTCCATTTAAAAACGCATATATTTTGTTGAGTTTTAGAGCTCTGAATAAAAGATAAGTTTAAAAACACTGTGAAAGACGGGTAAATCTACCACTTAGTGTGGACTTTGGTAAACGCATACGTTTGGAAAGGATGACATAGACACCCCCGTTGATACTTCACTGGATCTTTGCAGTCACAACGCACCCTTCCCTCATTGGCATTCACCCTACCATCGGACCCATTCCCGGTAGATCACAAAACAACAGTCTTGATTATCAAGCAACTACCACAGTGGTTCATTTAATTTAACATTATAGGTAATTTAAGTGAGTATGGGTGTTACTAACCTTGTTATCCTTACTAGCAGCTATTGTACAGTTAAAATCTGCCACCAGCAGAGCTACGAGGTTAAGAACAGGCAACAACTAAACCAAGAGGAAATGAATGAGACGCGTCATGACCGCATTAATGACCCACAATCCAGTCAGTTCTTATGTGTAACTTTTCATTTTAAGGTAAATCTGATGCGTGTGAGAATAAGAGACAGACCTGCAAAGTCTGACTTTTTTTTTTCGGTTTGGGTTTATTGAGGAAGATTTAAGAGGAAGATCTGGAGTAAAGCATAATCTTCCATTATTAAACTATTATATTACTCACATATTTTATCTTATAACAAATCGAAATCCTGTTTACACCACCATCCGCATGCAGAGTGTACATGAACATGCGATATTCGATTTGAGGCATTACTAGTATGAATGAAAATAATTTTGAAAACAATGCTGAAAAGGCCTGTGTTGACGGTTTTGTTTTAAATGGATACATATTAGTGTTGATGTAGCCTGGGACAGACAAGAGGGTCTACAAAATGACCTGCGGGAAAACAACTTAGATAAAGATAGAAGATAAAGATCAGTGTGAAAGTTCAACCGCATCATCTGGAGATCCAAGTGTGGACACATTTCTTTAAGGAGCAACACGATTACTCTAGAGAAGAGGAATTCTTTATAAAAACCTGCAATTCTGCCGGTTTTCAGACTGGGTTATAGGTTTATGTGGGGGAATTTCAGAACGGAGTAGCAGAGACGAGCATCGTCCCTCGCTCTAATCCTTATTTTACGCTGAACGCGTTCTGGCTTCTGAGTGACTAAGGGAGCTGGCGCTCTTAACAACGTCATGCTACTTGGATCCAATGACTGTCCACAACCTGGGCTGTGATTTAGATGTTTTTTTAGCCTAGTATTTCCAGTATACATTCAGTAACTAACATGGCATAAACATGCTAAAGCTAGTTTATCTTGTGCTAATGTGCTATGCGTATGTTAACGGCACAGTTTTTTAACATTGATTTATTTTTAGAAATACCTTCCCAACCTCTCTGTAGCTAGTATCACGATCATAAAAAAGTAGTACGAGCTCCAAATACACTGAATCTGCCTGAATACAAGAGCAGACGGCCTGTAAATAAAGACTTCCTTTATACCTTCATTAAATGTACAAAATGTAATAATGAATTAAGATCAGGTCTTTTTGCATTTAATCAGTGTAGTACTACTCAACGGTACAAGAAATAGTCTATATAACCAATACCTCAGCATAACCCATGTTTTAATCAAAGTTTCTTTGAAGGAGTTTGTGTCCAATTACTTATTAACATTTGTATTTTGAGTAAAAACAATCTAGAATCAAAAGAACTTCCAATTTCCTTCTTCAGCGGACTAGTTTACAGTACTAATTAATCACACCTACTGTTGAGATTGTTGTAATGTGCATGAGCTCACCATAGCAGCCGGCTTGGATGGGGGTTTTGGGCGACGCGCAGGCGTATAAGCTGAAGTCCTCCGTCTGAAAGCCGGCTCGGTTTAGCGAAGGCTCTGAGGCGCTGCGGTGGATTTTGGGTAATGAGCGTGCAAGCAGCTCAATGGACGCCAAGATCTGAGAATAAAAAGCACAGCCACAGGGTCCTCAGTCATCAGAATACTAACAAACCAACCACCTAGCTAATTAACTAAACACAACTATTGACAATGTTGTTGTACAATTTCTAATCGTCACTGACAGTTACTATACGCTAGAATACAATAATGTAAATCCACACTTTATTATAATTGAACGGAGGGCGCTAATAACAGTTTGATGAAAGAATCCAAGAAAAATCCTTGTTGGGTAGGACTTACCCATACTACTTTTGCCTGCATGATGAATTAAGTACTCTTTAATAACTAACGATCATCTTGGACTAGGCCGATATCACTTAGTGTCCTACCTCTTTCAAGGATGAAGTGGAGGCTTTTTACGGTTTATTTCAGAAACTGAACTGCAACTTTTATTCTTGTTTATTGTTGTTGAATGTCTGTTCTTACTTAAATAGTTTTTTGTTCATTTTATTTAATTTTGCCAGAATATTAATGATTTTAAGTGAGGCGCTTTGAATTTCTTCGTTGTTGAAATGTGTTATACATTTGGTTTGCCTCTCAATAGTTGATTTTTTTTTTTTATTTGTCATTTTTATGTTCTTAGGGATAGGGTGTAGATCAGGGGTCTGTTTCAAGTAGGAGGTTTAACAAACTCTAAGTCAAACCCTAAAATCTGAGTTGATTTACCCTGAGATGGGAAACTGAGTTTTGGGTTTCAGAACAACTGTTTAGAGTTGGTTCAATCAACTCTGAGTAGGTTGACTCAGAGTTGGAAATATTAATTAAAAAGTACGGAGAGTATGAACCCGTATTAGAAATAAAAGACAGAAACTGCGTGGGAGAAAATGGCTGTAAGTTCCAATATAGTGTTGTCAGTTAATATTTAATATACACACTAATCATAATCCATACGTTTTACTAATTCCCAGTGGGTAAATTACATTTTTTACACCGTTTGTTAGAATGTACTACACAGGCTTGAAATACACACCCAAGTTCATATTTAATCACAAGAATAATATCGCTGGTAGAAACTGGTACAATGGTATAGGACCTATAATGTATTTTATTCAGGTGCATCCTGTGGAGCTTCACTGGTTTGTGTCCAGGGACCAAAAAGGTTTAAAAAGACGTTTCAGAGCGACGCAGATGTTTCTCATGGCTCTGCATATACCAGCTTTAATAATATTCTAATGTTGTAGGAAACTGCAGTTTGCAAAAAAAGGAATACACTACACAAAGAATGTGCTTGGATGTCAAAGCATGTCCACGATGGGGGACGTTACTTATATGAGGACGGATGAGGTTATGTACATATTTGATGGACTGTGAAGAAAAACAATACCGTTCAAACAAGTAGTCATCTGGAAATGACAATATATCTAATTGGGGCCTCAATATTCTCCCGACGTGTTTAACACCCTGCGAAGTAAAACTACTTCTTCATCAACAGGATCGTCCAGAAAAGGACGTCCCATGTTCCAGAAAACACTTTAGTCTTCAACGTAACACAGATCATATTTGTGCATATGTGGAAACTGCACTAAAATACTGAATGAGGAAATGAAAGAGCGCTGTGTGATTGGCTGGGCTGCTGTCAGAGGGAGGAGACTGTGAAAGAAACTCTAGGTTTATTGAAGAAAACCTGCTCCCGACCAGGTTAGGTTCACAGGCTCAGTTACCATGGTAACTGACCCTGAGCTTTAGTTACCTCCCTTTGTGAAACAGACAAGCCAGAGTTCCCCTCATCTCAGGGTTAACCAACTCGGAGTTTCCACTAAACCTGCTTCTTGAAATGGACCTGCTTCATTTTCATTTTCTTGCAAATAAATAATGTTGAAACGTTTTTGATATAAATTATTAATCTTTTATGAGATAAAGTAACATTTTTCAACATGGTTTTTCTTTTGCAAATATTGACTGATCTGCAGATTGGACCCAAAGTTTTTCGACCAATGACTATGCCGACCTGTAGGTACACGCGCTATAACATCAGGAGAATACGGCTCGTCATCTCCCACCTGGACTACTGCAACCTCCTCCTGGCAGGTCTCCCTTCTACCGCCATTCCACCTCTGCAGCTCATCCAGAATGGAGCAGCTCGACTGGTCATTAACCTTCCGAAATTCTCCCACACTACTCCACTCCTCCGCTCCTGCCCGCATCTAGTTCAAAACATTGGTGCTCCCCATGCTGTGAATGGATTGGGTCCGGTCTACATCCAGGACATGGTCAAACCCTACATCCCGACCCGTGCACTCTGCCAAACTGCTTGTTTTTCCCTCACTGAGAGCAAAACACTCGACAAGATCACAAGTCTTTGCTGTCCTGGCTTTGAAATAGTGGAACGGTGGAAATGGTGGAACGAGCTCTCTGAAGACACCAGGACCGCAGAGAGTCTTTACAGCCTCCGCCGCAAACTAAAGACACACCTCTTCAGACTCTACCTCGACTAAAAGACTAACAAATTGTAGCACTTAAAATTGTACTTGTAATGGCTCTTATCTATAGCAAGTTGTAGATCGGCTTATTTGATGAAATTGCACTTTCTTGTTTTGAGTGACACTTTAATTCAGATCTGATGTGCTTAATGTAGCTAATTCTATGCATCGGCCACTTTTCAATGAAATATAGAAGCATTAGTATTCATTTGTCTCACCTGAGGGAAGAGGGGTCTTTCCTCTCTTTTCTTCTTCAGGCAGTCGGCCATCAGCCTCTTCATGGCTTTTGGACAGTTGCTGCGCACCTTGCTGAGGTCGGGAGACAGGTAACCTCGACCAACCATAAATATGATCTATGGGAATGAACATATGAGTCATTATAACATCTGCTTGGTGGAATAGATATTTTATAAAGTTGTAGGTGCCAACTAGAAATGCATTTCCTGCTGAGAATGCAAAAAGCTGAAATGAATATTTAAAAATAGCTGAAAATACAGAAAGTTGAAGGGAATTTGAATACATCTGCTGAAATTACAGATATTAGAAAAGCTGAAATTAATTTGAAATTGCTGAAAATACAGAAATGGGAGAAGCTGAAAGGAATTTCAATAGATTTACTGAAAAAACAGAAATGAAAACAGCTGAAATGAATGTGAGATATTGCAAAAAAAAAATACGGAAATTAATATTAAAACATTACTGTTAATACCGGCATAAGAAAAACTGCTGAAAATACAGGAAGTGGGGAAGCTGAATTTCAATAGATTTTCTAAAAAAATACAGAAGTTGCAGGAGCTTAAATGAATTTAAAAAAGTACAGAAATAACAAAAGCTGAGATGAATAAAAAGGTTTAAAATAGTTTGTAGTAATATTAGTTATAGTTGTAATTGTGGTATTAGTAATACTAGCTGTAGAAGTAGGTTTAGTATCACTAGCAGTAGAAACAGCAGTAATACTAATACTATTAGCCATAGTAGTATTTGTAATAACATTAGTAGTTGTAGTATTAATAGCAGTAGAAATACTAGTATTATGGTAGAAGTATCAGTTGTAGTACTAGTAATATTCGTAGTGGTTGTAGTAGTATTTGAAAGAGCAATACGTATTTCAACGAAACCGCTTCATTCTGAGCTTCATGGTTACAGTACAGATAATCATTGAGGCTTTTATCGTGATATAATGGAATTGGGTGAGGGGGGTTGGGAGACAGAATGTTTGTTATTCAAACTAAGACGTTTTTAATTAATAGGCCTCATCACAAACATTACAGTAAAAATTCCCTCCATGGGGCTTTTATTTTGAAATTATTGGATTGGGTGGGGTGGGGGTGTAGATAGAGGGAGGGAGGGTGAGAGGGTGAGGAAGGGAGGGGTGGTGAGGAAGAGATAGAGGGATAAAGAGGAGAAATAGACAAGACAGACTGACTGAGCAGCTGACTTTATCATATTGGTCTGTTGAGAGAAAGCACAGCTGCGTCATGTGACTCCACTAATCAGGTAATAGGAGCAGCTGTGAGTCACAGACAGATACTGCGGCGTGTGTGCGAGTAACCACGGCAACGGTGCACCTGGGCTCATTAACGAGCTGCTGCAAAGGGCAGACACAGGACAGCGAGTTACACAGAATCCACACCTCAAACAAATGACCACCAGCGCAAAACTATAACAGCTATCTAAAAAATAAGACGCTTGTGCGAGACCCAAGACTCTACCGAACGCATGGATGCGTTTTTTATGTCTGTCCGGTAATAAATACGGCTTCTGTCACAGTTGACAAAACGTGTACCTTCTGGATTTTTGGAGAAATATGTCGGCAGATTTGTATTGGAGCCTATGGGGCTTTTGGCAGAGGTTGTGTCACTTTAACACTTCTGAAGCCAAAACTAAACAACTCTGGGATTCTATGAACACATTAATCCAATCAGCACAACCATGCCATCATTAATCCAAAGAAATGAAGCCTCAAAAGTGTATACTTTGGCTCTGAGGACAGAAGTTCCATATTTTTTTAACCACATTCTGACGCAGCCCCACACTCTAAGATCTCCAGGTCTCACTCTATGAAATGCAATACACACTCATGTAAAAAAAGAAACGGAGCGAAGAACTGGTGAAACATAATCGGTGATTATGAAAAAAGTAGAATAGATATCAACGAGCAGTTTTTTTTCCATAAAACAGTTGAGACTTGTGTCAACATTTGAAAATGGAAATGGTGTCTGTAGCTGAAAGATTGGCGAAGCTGAAAAATCTGAAAGTTGAAGTTTAAGAGGATTTGAACACGATCTCCATAGGAAAACCATTAGAAGAAATATTCATGATTATTGATTTATATAAATTCAAGCTTAAGATCTAGAAAGCTGAAAAGTCATAGCACCCCTCCCGGGAAAGAGCTGAATATTTTAACATTTGAATGGTTTTAATAGCTGAAAGTGTGGAGCAGTTGAAAGGTGGCGCGGAAGAAATGGAATAATAAGTTGATTAAAGATTCGAAGAACAATGCTTAATGCATTCCAACAATAACGTTTAAATGTACATGTTAGGAATTGTGACTGGATTGTGCCATGGAAATATTTTAACATGATTGACTATGTTGATTTTAATTTTTTTCAAGATGCATTCAATTAAATAAAAATACATTTTATTAATCTTAATTAATTGTGCATTTTAAATGAGTCAAACTCAAAATAAAGATCATACAATTTACCAAATAAATAATTTGGCAACACTTTGTATGATTTTTCATATCATACAAGGTTCTTTCTTTACATAGACTGACAAAAAGCATAGTAATCTGTTAATAAGTTCATGGATACTTGCTAATAAGTGCATAATAAAGTATTAATTAATGCTTAAAAAAGCACTTAACTGACATGTGAAAAACCTGTGGTGTATGTGTGGCTATGGCGTGTAAATGTGACCAGCAAAATATAAAAAATGTGAAACGTGGCGGCCCACCAGCTAAACCCGGCTCCTTAGTCAAGTGTCTTTCAACCTTTTTTGCGTCAAGGCACACTTAAGACACAGAAAAAATATCACGGCACACCAACAACCGTAAATGATATGAAAATCAATCCCAAACATAGTTTCAGCATGAGAATAATATACTCTAAGAAATCAAGGAAACTCGTGTTCTATTTGTTGTGTTTTATTAAACTTAACATCATGCTAATGCCAAGATGGGACAGGCTTTATGCCCAGGTATCTCTTAAGCCTAGTTTTTGCTTCTACGTTTTCAGAGCGATGCAGACGCAAGCCCCCCTTGCGTGTCCCTTGCGTCGCTTTTCACACCTCCTCGCGTCCTTGCGTGTGTCGAGCCATTTTTCTAGGCTTGTGTCGAAGAAGCAACGCAAGCCTCCCGCAGCGCACCAGCCTGCGATTGGTCCGCTAACTACGTCCTTTACGGAGTCTCACATTTCCGCTTTCATAGCCCGATACCGCCATTATTAAAACGAAGAATGTTTACGAGAGAACAGATCAGATTTAAGAACTTTTGTCGGAAGAAATGTGTAAATATGACCGCTTATACAAGCCGTCATTGGCGGGTTGTAGAAGCGGGTTGGATTCACTTAGGGAGATCGCCGCAAACGCCGGTCGAGAGGTGCACAAAGTTGTGGAGGAAAACACGGGACAAATGTGTCCGCGATGAAAAGCAGCAGTGGCGATGCACGGGGCAATAAAGTCTATGATAAATAAACAAACAAATAAATAAATAAATAAATAGACGTGACTCTCTAGGTCGTCTTCAACAAAAACACGTTACTCCGCCTGTTGTTCTGGTGGTAAATTGCTCTGCAACACACGCAGAACCATGAATTGAATCGTTTTGTGGTTTCTAAAAACATCTGTGGGGTTTATACAGTCGTCTTACCTGGTCTCTGTTGTTGATGTTGGAGTAGGGCAGGGCTCCTGACATTAGCTCGTACAGCACAATGCCGAATGCGTAGACGTCTGACTGAAAGCTGTAGGGGTTTTTGTCCTGCAGTCGTATCACCTCTGGGGCCTGAGAAAGCAAAGGGTTCACTAACCAGATCACGACTATTCATGAGGAGTGCAAGTATAAAAAGGACCCACAGAAGATATGGAGTAAAAAAAGACAACCACGTTAAGGGTCCCTGGTATGGGATGAACACTGACCATCCATAGTATAGAGCCAGACAGCTGTTCAAACTGGTGGGAGCCACTCCAGCGGGACTTGACTGTAGCTAGACCAAAGTCACCAATCTTCACCGTCAGATCCTCGTGGAGGAAGATATCTGAAGAAGATTATGTCAAGAAAACACTCCTATTCTAATTCTGCACTATTAATGTAAAACTATATAACATCTTCAGTATGGAGGTTATATTTTTAAATGCTCCATCATCAGCTTATTTGAATTTCATTTGGAGAAAAAAAGCCCCTTGTTGTTACGACAAAACTGAAATGTTTTAAAAGGATACTGTTGCTCTTCAGATCTCTGTGGATGATTGATTTGGCATGCAAGTAACTGAAAAGGAAAAGGGGAAAAGTTTTTAAACTATTACAAACATGGCCTATGCCACTTCCATTTGAGTGGGCACCTACTCCATGCCCTGAGCTGTCTGCCGGGCGATGTCAATCAGCTTGATCATTTCAAACTTGGTCTCGATGATGTGCAAGTGGTGGTACAAACTGGAGCCTTCGCACCACTGGGTCACAATGGCCAGCTGAGGTTTAGTGGTGTAGCCCATGAACAGAAGGATGTTAACGTGACGCGTTTTCCTAGTGCAAAAACACAGAGGTTAAGAGAACTGAAGCACTTTTTTTTACTAATGAGTGATACTTTAGTAATAAGATGTTCATTTGAAGGGAAGTGAAAAGGTGCATAGAATCTACCACTAATCTAAGGATGTTACCTGAGGACACCCACTTCATTCTTAAAGGCCTGAAGCTGTTGTGGTGTGGGAGCAGTTACGTTCAACATCTTCACTGCCACATCACCTTGGAGGAGATGGAGGAAATGTGAGTAGATTTTTTTTTGTTCTTCAAAATTTGAATGCAGGGTTAAAAAAGTACTACAAATGAAATAAAAGCCCTATAGGATTAGCTCTAACCTAACCCTAAATATGTTCAGGTGTAAAGCTATTCTGTAATTCCAATTCTTGTTTCAGACATTTTATTTATACAAATAATGAGTTGATACCCAGAGGATGTAAACAGTGTCCTTAATTGATGCTAGAGAAGTATAGTATTGGTCGTACCGTGCCATTTCCCCTTGAAGACCGTTCCAAATGATCCAGAGCCTATTCTCTGACCAAGAGTGATCTGACCCTCGGGGATTTCCCAGTCATCACTGGAGTCCCTTCTCCCCAAGGTTTTCTGTTCCACAGGGCACTCAGTCAAAACAAAGAACTAGATAATGAATTCCAGAAAAACTGCAGCTTTTGTGACAAGGTCTCACCATCTTATTGCGGTCCTCGGACGAGGACGATGACTTGCGCTCCCTCTGTTGGCATGGGGACTTCTGTGGAACCTTGACATTGGTCAAAGAGCCAGGTAAAGAGGCGGGAGGCGTCGCGGAGAGCCCGGCGGTGGAACCTAAAGGGGGATCAGAGATAAACCGAAAGGAAACAATAAAAGAAGAGAGGTGAGGTAGATCGGTAAAAAAGGTTGAGAAAAAGCAGAAAATGGAAGAAGGGGTGGGGAGAGGGATAGGGGCTTCTGGATCAGGTGTGTGTGTGTGTGTGTGTACAGTAGGGGTGTGTGTTTGCATGTAGAGGTGAGGGGTTGTTGGTTGGATGGGAGTCAATGGTTTAATCCAGAATACAAAGTGCATCACTATTATTAACTACTTATGTCTGGATCACAAAAGATTCCATAATATTAATCAGAAAGGAGTCTAATTGGAAACGTAACTGTTGTCTCTTTAACAGACTTCTACAATGGTGACTTTAAACTATTTACAATGAAGAAAGTACAGACAAAGGTTGAGAACAAATTACCTGTGGTCAATAAAAAGACTGGAAGCAGTAGGAAACTGCTAGCAAAGTGTCACTAAACATTAAAAATAAAAATAATTCAGAAGAGAAATTATGAGAAATAATTTAAATATTAAATGGTGGACATTCCGTTTTTTCATCAGTATTCATTGATTTTGTTAATAACAATGACAAGTACTGCATGCAAATTTACTCTAAAAAGCTGTAGGTCATTAACATTCATTCAATCAATTGGAAAAGGGGAAAAAAAAATCAGTCACCTGGTTGCCTTTGTTTTTCCAAATTATTAAACTAAAATGACATGGCTATTTAACGTCACTGGTTTTTAGTATCTTATTTACAGTAGTAGGTCTATTGCAGTGTTCGATCTAAAACAGTCTAAATAGAGCATTTGTGAAATTAAAGATAACTTTAATCCATGATCATTTTGTTGATGTCCCATGACAAACTTTCTGTCCAAGACGAAGACAACACATAATGACCCTCGTGCAATGTGTATTACACATAACTGGTTAAGCCTTTAAATACCTGAAATCATGTTGATTGGCTCCAAGATAATTAAAAAAAAACCACAATCAAACAAATGCAGTTATGTGTGTGCTTTTACAGTGCAGTAGATAAGTCATTTGAACACAGATCAGAACAGATTTCACCAATAATCGATTAGTCATTTACTTCAATCAACATTACATAATCAAAGGAGCATTTCTGCAATCAAATCACCAACCCTATCACCAATGTCTGCTCCGAGTAGACGGTGTGATTTATGGGTAACCTGTGTGGTAGGCAGCGCATGTACGGACATGAGGGGTGTGGGGGGAGTACAGCGAGACACACACACTCACACACACACGCACACACACACACACACACGCACACACACACACACACACACAAGGTTGTTGTGTGGGGTGGAGGGAGTGAAGGACACAGCAACACACAGAGGCCTAACTACCTCGGAAAACAGGCTCAGGCTCAAAATCAAACACTATGTCATTGGGGTAGGAGTATAGGAGGGGGCTTGAGGTCCGTGTTCGGTGCTTCCTCAAGCAGCGGGCGGGGTGGGTCGGGGGGGCTGCAGGGCAAAGAGAAACAGACAGACCATCACTGCTACTCACCCCGCCCCTCGCACCTCGAACTAACTACTGTCCATGGCTGCAACTGAGCGTCTGGGTGGAGAGTCCTCATACACACTACGCGTGTTTGATCAGGGTGGGCTTCCCACTGCTAATTCATACATTTCTTTGATACGTTTTGGGCTCCATTTTTCTGATTGATATTTCATGTCTGTGTTTTTAGTAGGCCTAGATTAGCCTATTGTATTGTAACAACTGGAAGCAGCTACCTAGCTACAAAGTTAAACACAATACACAGACAAACCCCTCGAAGTTTACTGATTGACATCATTGTGCGTCTGTTTGTTTAATCTGTACACAAACAAATAAAATAAAAACACAGCTGTGTAGCACTATCAACCAATCAGTTAACACTTGTTGCTCAGCAAGTAAAGCCCTTTAAAATCTTTAAGAAGCTTGCTATTCTGGGGAAGAAACAATTTAAATTTAATTGGAAATACGTTAAGCTCGCCAGCGATGCAGTTATCACTGTTTAGCTCAAACTCATTCCTGTATTGTAGGTATAAGACTGCTGTGTGTTAAGTCAATATAGAAATAGCCAAAACAAGACAAGAAATGAAGCACTACAGTATAGAAGCGGTTTCCTTCCAGCTGTGCTTTAGCATGACGTAGTAGTTTGGACCTGCAGGGAGGATTGTTATATCGTTGAAACAGAAATGAGTTTATTTCCTTCAATCACCACTATTCATCAGCCTAGTGATTGCTTTCTATGAGCATGCAGCCCACAAAAGAAAGCATTTTTGAGCCCAGAATTTTGAACTACTCTTTAAAAAGTGTTGCTCTGGATTTATGAAGAATGGATGAACCCTAATTCAGGAATTTGAATGCAACAGCAGCGTTGTCAAGCCTAGGGTAAATATTCCATTGAAAGGGAATAGCCCTCATAAAAGAGGTCTTAAGCCTGTCAGTTGAATAAAATCTAAAGTAGCTACCAGACTTCTGAAAAGTAAGAGGCCGTTAGGTTCATATCCGAAACCTTTGAATTATCCCTGAGCACCGTGACATTTTTCTTCATACACAAGGTTAAACACGATTTTAAACCTTGGCAGGCTTTATGTTTCTTGAACTTTAAAGTATCAGCAATATTACAGAACTAGAATTAGCTCTCTTATCAAATGCGTGTAACTTAATCACCTTCAAACCAGTAAAAGCAAGCTTCTGATTGAATGACAACTTTTTTAAACTTTTTAAAGTTAACTTTTAAACAAGCTGCGCGTGTTCATTTTTAATATTTGCAGGAGGAGCTCAGCTTAGCAGAGCATCACAATGTAAGATTGAAAAAAGAAAACAAAGGAACGGAGATGTGGAAGTTCTGGCCTACCAGAAACCTTGCCCACAGATCCGATAAATACAACATTTGCCCTCAGCTACTGCTCATAGTGGATGGAAGTGTGCAGGACTAAACCGAACCGAATAAGACTGATCTTCACACACACACACACACACACACACACACACACACACACAAAAGACCAAGATGCGGGATGGTAGGGAAACAAAGAACAAGTCTCCTATTTTGATGCTTACCTCCATCTGACCGTGGCAATCCTTGATCTCGAATCAGGTCCTGAAAAGAAGGTACAAGGAAAATTAACACTATTTAGAGCAAACACGCACAGACAAGATCCCGCCCCAGTTGACTTTCTTTGAGCAACAGCGCCACAATCAGTTCTAGATCGAAAGGGCCGCGAGGAAAGTGGCTCAGGGTTCCTGCCACACGGTTTACAGAACCGCTTGCCCACTATCAAGAGCTGTGGAATTAGTGCCCGCTGCGCTCTTTCTCCCTTTGTGGAGCCCCTGCTCCCTACACGACTGCCTGTCAGGTGAACCGTCCTCAGTGTATCCGGAGGTGACGTCAGCAACCCACCCGAGCAGTCTTGAAACAAGGGCCATGTCTCGTTTACTCGTTTGTCTCGTTTACTATGCTTTTTTATGGTCACTCATTTGCTGGGACACATACAATTTTGGAAAACACAGCATGACTTACCAACTCTACAGGTTGCCTGGGGTATTAAATAATGTTTTATAGGTTGCAATTTGAAAGAAAAGGTGTTTGAGTTGGGCTACTTTATGTTTAGTTACCTTTTCATTCTATTCATAAATTGCGAAAAACAATTTGTTAAAAGTGCAATAAGGGTCACTGTCACAGTCCGATGATAGCGGCTATTAAAATCGGTTGCAAAAAATATAGCTGCAATTATATTGTTACTTAGCCACTTTTTTCTGGTTAGTGTTTTACTCAGTGGTATCAGCTCCTGTTTGGTGGAATCAATACCTGTTAAGTATAGTAAGTATATTAAATAAGTAAGTATAGTAAATACACACGTGTCCAAATCAGTTCAACAAAGTGGTAACAGACTCACATCAATGTTGACAGGCTCAATGGTATTGATATGGACGTTGGGGGCTGAGGACGAGCGGTCCCGCTGGCCAAATTGGTTGCGGTGGTCCTCGTCATTTGGCCGGAAGCTGGGCGGGATGGGTATGGACTTGGACGGGGACAAAGTGGTATGGCACATAGAACTGGAAAAACACATTTTTTAAGTAAAAAGACTTTTGGCAACTTGCATGGATATTCTCATACTTCTGTAATCTTTTTAGGCACAAATGGAGAAAAAATACAATGTTGTTGTACAAGCCCTGGAGAAGCACATTAAGAGGAGGCCTGCCCCACTAAGGAGTGTAAAGGTGGAGGACTCACCCGGTGGAATCTGATGGGGGTAGTGATGGACAGGCATCTGACACAGGGGTCGTTCCCTCTGAGGAGACCTCCTCCTGGGTAAACGGGTGATGCTCGAAGAATTTGGACACCAACAACAAGCTGCAGATCAAACATCGAGATCATTGCTCTATTATTCTCCACACAACTTACTTCGGTAGAATTGATTTAGGAGACAGCGGATACAGAAGCGGGCTTGGTCAAGGAAGGGACTAACAAGTTATGTTCTCCCATCCTACAGTCCACATATATTTTGCAAGAGCAAACATCAGAATCCTCAGGGAATTCTGATGAGCTAACTTCTTTCTAACTCCTCACATTTCTTCCCCACAACAGACGCTGATCTCACTCAAGTGAGATCACATGAGGTAATTCATCAGACTTCACACACAGCTCCCTCTGGATACTCTAATGCAAAAGTAGTACTCAACACTATGTAAACTTTATGGAGTTTGACCAGTAACTATATAGAGCCACGTGTCTGGCAAGAAGGACATGGAAAATATATTGTTGATTGATGAAACGCTTTGGAGGCATCACAATACATTTACAGAGTACATATATATATATATATATATACATACACACACACACACACACACACACACTAGGGCTGTCAATAGATAGAATAGAAATAAATCAACTAATTCATCGCACATTTTGAAATTCATTAATCTCGATTAATGAATGTTGTTGTTACAATGTTGTTTTTAATGAATGTCTGTTTTTCTTCTAAAGACTAAATCTTAAAAGTAATGAGTAATCACTTTAGAAAGCATGTATGTTAGATACTGTGTCGATCTCAGACAGTGAGAGAATCCATAAAATCACAGGGAAAAAATAAATCACCTAAAAGCTAGTGACTGTGAAACACCATGTAGGCCTGTCGCAATATGTGATAAATTCACTTATCGCACACTCTCTGAAATAGACTGCAATAATTTTTGGTGCTGCGATATTCATTTTACATATAAATGAACGTCACCAACATTTAAGTTGATCGCGCTGCCTCTGTCCCTTCTCCTTGTGGAAAGCGAAGGTGGGGCTTAGGCAGCGCGCACACACAGATACAGACCGTTAAAGAGAAGCAGTGAATCCATGATATTATAAAGTGTGTTGGCCTGCCGGCAGTCGAAGCCCCCCCAGGTTAAACCTCACCGACTGCCGCGGCGCGCTTTTCTGCTGCACACATTTTCTCGAACCGACCGCATCGCACCAAGCCTGATGCTTCGCCCGCACTGTGTCCCTTGCACTTATTATTTTTCATTTTTTTCATTTTTTTCGGATATATATCTTCATATTTCTGACAAATAAAATGTTCTTTGTTGTTTAAAAGAGTACTTTTATTACTATGCTATTATATTGTCATTATGGTATCAGTGGCATAAAGTGGTCTGAAAATTGCAATAACATTGCATATCGCAATAGATGTTGGTGCACTAACCACACAACAAAAATGTTATGTTGTGACAGCCCTAACACCATGTGTGTTCATTTACGGGCCATGTTTTTTAGATGTAAGCAGGGGTTAACTGGTCAGAGACAGTTGTGAGCTGTTGAGTTTTGCATATTGTATGTGCTGCAGCTACAGTAATGGCCTCTTGCTACACACAGCTATAAAAACAAATCCAGGACCTCACGAGATTCTTGTACCTGGACAAGACTACATTTCACAGTTGGTTCAATCTCAAAGTGGTTGCTGCATCTGGATCGTCCCCTGGGTGGGACTTACTCTAGTTGGTCATAGTTGACACACATCAGGGGAACCTCTGTGCTGCAACGCTGGTGGAACTTGTAGCCACAGGTCTGACAGCGGAAACCCTGGAAGAGCAGCTTTCTGCAGAAGTCACAAAAGGCCAGTGTGAAGAAGGTCTTCCTTACCTATAAATCAGACACAAACATAGCATCCACGGGTTAGACCCTTTTGTGAGAATCATGTCAAGGTACACTGCACCGGGTTCTACTGTGGAGCCCCACAAATGAACAAATCCAGAAATCTAAATTACAGTGTCTACTGTCATTTAAAAATAAACTAAATACATCATCAGGTACCCACAGTACCTTCGAACAGTTAGTTAGTCAAGAGGCAAGCAAGGTCTGCGGCATCTGCCTCGACTCATGCAAGACGCTGGCAACTCCTGGGAAAATTTGGACGGGAAATATAAATCCAGTTTTTCCTCATCTACAGACTTTAGAGAAAACGTATCTTTTTCCAGTTGACTAGAAGGTTGCAGACTTTGTCACGTCATCTGATTGTGATGGGCTGGGGAGGGAACTTGGTAATATTGAGCACTATAATAAAAATATCAGGTTTATTGTCACTGGAGTTACAATATGGTATTTCATCTCGCAGTACTTACAAAGTTGTGTGTGGTGAGCGGAACATTTTCCAGGACTTCTACATGTAACTCCTCTCCTGTGAGCCAGGAGATGTCTGTGTCCCAGCCAATTGGTTTCTTCTCTCTGAAAGAGGATGTAGAAAGTTAGGGGAAAGGTCTACACCTCCCACTGCTGTTCATCTAGCCACCATATTGAAAGTTGTGCCAACAGGAATTTGGGGGTTTCCAAAAGAAAAGCAGCACATGCTACATCTAGAAAGTCAACCTTTTATTGCTGAATAAGGACCGCGTTTGGCTAAGGCCCTTCTGCTTCTCCTAACTTTTTGTCTTCCAGCAGGCATTTCATATCAAATATTGTCATAAATATTCTCATTTTCACCAAATTGTCATGTGCAATGCCTTAGAGAGGAACTGTTCGATTCAGAATATGTTGAAACAGTGACTTCTTTTTATACTTACATACATACATACATTTATTGTGCCATACATTGCCAAACTTCGTCATCTCATGAGACAGCGGGCCAGCTCCTGAGCTGACCAGCATACATGGTAATACCAGGATGGGATCTCAGCAGATTGGTAATGCACAGCTGGCTCTGATGTCCACGTTAGAAGGGCGTATTAGGTCCATTATAGATTTTTTTTAAAGGAAATAATTATGGAGCAAGGTTTTCTCTTCTCTCGTCAATTAACTACTTCAATCGCGGAAAAATTTCCCCCCAGTATTACACAACTCCCACAGCTCCTTAATACCTAAAGTGTCCCTAAAACTCAGTAGTACTTTTAAACACAACATATTACATTACATTATTACATTACAGGTCATTTAGTAGACGCTTTTATTCAAAGCGACTTACATTACACTTAAACCCATGGCTTTTTCACATTTTTGCCCAGGGAGCAATTAGGGGTTAGGTGTCTTGCTCAGGGACACTTTGACATGGAACATGGGGAAGCCTGGACTCGAACCACCAACCTTGTGCTTCCCAGCACACCTTCTCTAACCCCTGCGCCACGACGACCACATATCTATTTCTTCTAGAATATAGTTTTTTTTTTTAATAAAGTGAGGGAATCATTTACACCAGAGATAAAATGCCATTTCATCTAGACTTACTCGTCCTGTATCCTGTAGACTGCACAGCATTCTGGAATTAGGCCTCGCATCATCAGAGCTTTCTTCAGTGAGTCTCTCACAGTCATCCCACAGCGAGCTGGGACCTGAAAACACCATAAAAGCAGTCGCTAAACTTGAAACAAAAAGGAAATGAGATGACACAACCACACCAGGTGTGGCCGGTGAAACGTTCAACTGTAAAGTTGGAGTGAGAATGTACAATTTAGTCTCAGGTGGAATGGTAATAGGTTACTACTGTGGAGTTCATTAAAGTAAAAGTCACGCCTATACTCACGCTGATCATCAACCTGCAGAGCAGTTCCCCAACAATTAGGAATATTTTTGAGTAACTAATTATGCTTTGGCTGCAGGGTTCTGGGTCAAAATCATCTACCAATAACATTTACCCCAAAAGTCTTTTGGTCAGGAGGTACTTAAGTGCAGTAATAATTGGGATGGGCTTTGCAGAACTTAAAGTTGCAGTTTGTTTAGTGAAAACACACATACTGCATCAAATCATGTGCCACATAATTTATAAAACAAATCAGGACCATCTTCAGATGAGGGAAGATAGTTAGCTCAGGGAATATCTCTTTGATAAAAGTACAGTCGCAGTTGGTTGTTGGCTTCCCGACATATTATAAAAAAAGATCGGAAGAGCGCTGTACTGTGAATGAGAGAAACAGGTTTATTTGTATTCCTACATGGTGGTTATGTTCTAAAGGACAAATAAATAACTATCGGATTGATTGTCTGTGGAGACAGATTCTAGTTCCTCCTCATTATTTAATTTATTACATCCAGCGTGTAGCATTGAATGTTGTTGTGGGGAGACAAAATTGTTTACGTTTACTATTTTCCAACATGTTTTAGAGATGAAACTACATGGTGTATTTGGCCCTGTAACTACCAGCATCTTTGCAGGTTTTAAATGATTTATTTTCAAAATGCAGAAAACAGGCTGAGGGAACCTTTTTTGCCAGGAAAAATCGTCCCGGCACTAAAATGACCAGGAACATCCTGGTGGTAATGCAGCTAGGGAAAGTAATACCGGAATAACAAAAAAACAGTGTGTTAAATTTTAGGCATCTCCTTTTGAGTTAAGCCGTTAGCCAATATTAGTTTGTGACAGATAGCAGTCTCATATAAATGGCCTACGAACACTTAATGTCAGTATAGAAATAAACGTATGTTTGAGGTCATTCAAAAAACTGCTTGTACATTTGTAAAATGTATTTTACCACTCGAAAGCACGACGGAGAGGACCGAACAATGTAACAATTAGGACAGCAGACATTAGAAACATTCAGGTGAGAGCATCAAGAGTACTACTTGGTCTGTACCAAATGCTATTTTTGTATATTTAAAGCGTCAACTGTGGTTTTAGAACAAAGCATTGAATGTTGGTCATCATATCAGATGAAAACCATTTAATCAGCTTTCTTTAAATGGACCCAACTTGTCATTAGAGCCCCGACTTGTGTGCAGCAGTGAAAGTTTCAATATGCAGATAAAGATCAGGCTAAAAAAGGAATAAAGTCGACACACACACAAAAAAAAGAGGACTTCAGACATACCACAGTTCTCTGTTTGTTGGGCAGGAAGACCCTAACGATGGGCTTCTGGGGGGAGCGAGGGTTGGCTCGACCAGCGTCTGTAGGGGTCTGCAGGACAGCCAAGGTATTGGGGGCTGAGGGAAAGGCCTGAGCCCCCCCAGCAACCCCACAACCTCCGCTCATGACCTCCAGAAGGGCTGGCATGGGAGAAGGGGAGCAGGAGAAGTCTGTGCCGTTGCCCATGGCCTCTAGCAGCTGTTGCTCCCTCTGCTGCAGGGCGTCCAGTTTACTTGTGTACTCCTCATATGCCTGACACAGATGACACACCTTTGAGCACTGACACGAAGATTGCATTATTGCTTGTAATGTGCTATAGTAACTTGAATTGTTTACTCATGGATGGAAAACTTCATTTCTATCACAAGATTATATTTCTGTGCAAATGAATTATTTCAAATTGAAATGATCTTACCTCTAAATATATGGAAGGAGGGTTGTGCTCTCCTCCAAACTTATCCAGAAGGGCCTCTAAATGTTCTTGTGTCAACTTTATCATCTGTTTTATATTCCATATCTGTGGGAAAGAAAAGCAAACAATATGAACATTTCAGGCCGGCACAGGGGTGTGGTGGTTAGGACTGATGCTTCACAGCAAGAAATTCAGGGTTCAACTCTACCCAGTGGCCTTTCTGTGCGTTGTACATGTTTTCCCACTGTCCAAAGACTTGCTCTGGGAGTTAGGTCAATTGGTGACTGTATGGTCTACGTGTCAGCCCTGCGATTGACTGCCGACCAATCCAGGGTGTACCCCATTTCTCGGCCGATGTTGGCTGGGATTGACTCCCGCCCCACCGCCACCCCAACCTTGTATGAAAGATAAGCAATGCTTTAAGTTGACTGCCTTGACAGAAATCAACAAATCAAGAACATCATCAACCGTTTCCCCTGATGTTCTCACCTAATGTCTAGATATTCTGATATCAGTATTCACTGCTGTACTAGTAGAACTACTTCCATATAACTGCATCCGGAACCCCAAGCCTAATGAGCTGCAAGGGTTGCAACAATAACCCAATGAAAGAAAACCGGTCATTTCCATTATTTATATTTAAAAAAAAGAAATAAATAAAAGAAGAAGAGTCCCAAAAGAATCAATTCAATTAAGTGTGCATCTCCCTGGTAATATCTGTTCTGTAAGAAAGTGATACCGGTGTATCCTAGTCTGGGACCGGGTATTTCAAACAGGTGAACAGGAAGAAGGCAACAGAAATAGGTTAGACTAGTTGCAGGCCAATATGATCTACAACAGTGCACACCCGTCAATCTCTGAGACTTTATCTGTCGATTTCCAAAATTAAATAAAAAATAAAATACATTCTCGAACAGGGTCTTTTGTAATGTTTTCTTAAGGACTTCGGAAAACCAACGTCCAAAAATATCTCCGCCTGATTCATGAACGGTTGAAAATCAGCTTGTACACGGCTGAAGCGTTCTCTGCTGTGTTCCCACGAATGAACGTATGTTTGCATGCACCCGGTTTGCATACAGAAGCGCCCAGCCAGCTGCTTGTAAGGGCATGCAACTGAAGAGACCTGTGCCGAACCAACAGACTGAGGCAACAAAAAAGCTACTATTACATTACATGTCATTTAGCTGATGCTTTACAGTGCATTTCAACCATAAAGGATACAAACTCAAAAGAAACAAAGTGTAATTTCATTAAATAAGCCGATTTACAACTGGTTATAGATAAGAGCCATTATTAAGTAAAATTAAAGTGCTACAATTTGTTCGTCTTTTGAGTCAAGGTAGAGTCTGAAGAGGTGTGTCTTTAGTTTGTGGTGGAAGATGTAAAGACTCTGCTGAGCGGAGTGCGTGGGTTGGGATATAGGGTCTGACCATGTCCTGGATGTAGATTGGACCCGATCCATTCACAGCAATGTTTTGATCTGGATGTGGGCAGCCACTGGTAGCCAGTGAAGAGTGGAGTAGTGTGGGAGAATTTCGGAAGGTTAAAGACCAGTCTGCTACATTCTGGATTAGCTGCAGAGGTCGAATGGCAGTGGCAGGGAGACCTGTCAGGGGAGAGTTACAATAGTCGAGGTGGGAGATGGCAACAGCCTGAATCAGTATCTGCGCCTTCTGAGTAAGAAAGGGACGTATTCTCCTGATGGTGTAGAGCGTGTATCTACAGTATCGTATTGTCGCTGTAATGTTGGGAGTCAGGGAGAGTTGGCCATCTGGGACAGTTGGCCGTCACACCGACGTTCCTGGCCGTCAAAGTGTGCGCTAACACAGAGTTGTCAAAGTTAAAAGGTCAGACCCTGTGTTGCAGAATGTTTTTCCTGGAAAGAAGTAGTTCAGTCTTGTCGGGGTTGATTTTCAGATGGTGAGTGGACATCCACCAAGGGATGTCAGTCAGACAGGCTGAGATCCGTGCCGCCACATGAGTGCTGATAGCTGTGCTAGGAGAAGCCATGCGAGCGAATGACCGAGCCGAGGGAATTGGTGTAGAGAGAGAAGAGGAGGTGACCCAGGACGGAACACTGAGGAACTCCAGTAGTAAGAGGATAAGGTTCAGACACAGATCCTCGCCAGGTTACCCGGTAGGTAGGATGTGTAATAGACTGGGTTTTTCCATGTAGAGGGTTATTTGTGTTGTGATTTGTTCTAAGAGTCACATGACTATGTAAGTGTAAGTTGTTGAGTTCCGGAGCGGGAGAGTTGCAAGCTGGCTGATGTATTCTGGCAGTCCTGAATAAATAAGTTCCGTGATACCCGCCATCGTTTTCGGTGCTTATTACAACCTACCGATATATCACAGGATGAGAGAAGGGAGCGAGCAGAGCCTGAGCCACAAAGATCAACTTCCGACTGATTAAAATCACGTCAAAGAAGAAAGCGTGCACCGCTTCCGTGCATAGTAGTATACACACACACATACTACTATTGTTAAGTCACGGAACGTAATTTTAGGACTTCAGGCCAGAAATTTGTTATGAATCATTGAATATGTATCTAAGATCTTGACTGGTCAGCTGCTTGAATGTTAATTTCATTGTTTGACAATAAGAGTTCACTTATAGCCTCATTAATAACTATCATAGATATGAAATATTATGAGGTTAACTACTAATGATGTCACCTATATAACTTTGCATCATTGATCACTGTATCATATATATTAAATACTTTGAGAATTGTTAGGGTTAAAAAATCTCACTCATTAATCTCACATTTAGAAATTCATTAAATCGATGAATCGAAATTAAAATCTTTCTTCTAAAGACTAAATCTTAATAAGAAAATTAACGAGTAATTACTTTCAAAGGTGTGTATTTTAAACACTGTTCTTTAAACCCTAACCCCTTTTTAAAACACACAACCACACACATCATCTCCAAGGCAGACAGGCCAGATTTGGCCCACAGGCCGCGAGTTTGACATATGTGGTCTACATAGTCCAACGACTAAATGCAAACCTGTGTATTATTATACGTACACACATACAATAAAAATAATACGTATTTTGAAATGGTTTGATGTGCAGCCCCTTCAGGAACTGGTTAATTTGAAAGCAAAGTACTATTGAAATATTTGTAAAATTGTCATTGTTTGGAGGCAGCAGTCCCAAGTCCTCTGAGATAATATGGTGTGATAGTCACATAGGAATCCCCTGCCCTTAAAGTTAATGCAACCCTTTCTGCTGTACGCAAATATTCCTCAACTTTAAACTTCTCTGTAGAGCTTGGGCACACATATGTTTAAAAAAAAAAAAAAACCTTTCAAGATAATCGTATACCTGGGTTCCAGTGTAGTGAGCCTGTATCCAAGCCTTAGTTTTCCACAAGTTTGTATGGGCGCAGGTCTTTGCACATGAAGCAGGTGATGGATTGTGTTATTTTCTCAGAATTGAAAGGTAGCTTTGTCAAGCGAAGCGTGAACCTGGACCTCACCAAAAAACAACCCATCACCCTCTAGTGGATTGAAAAAGCAATTGCTGTTATCCTTGTACCAAAAATAATAAAGATTGATACTTAGTATCTGTGTATTGATACAATATGGCCACGCAAAATATCAGCATACTATGCAGTATCGATTGCCCCCCTCCTACCTCTACTAGCTATCCATCTCCAAAGGCCTTCTATCGTATCTTTAGATGGTGACGGCTGAATTCTCCAGCTTTGGGCTTCACAGCAGCTCTTCAGAAACTTATAGGATAAAAAAATAAATAAAAATTGTTTGCACTCCGGTCTTATTTTCATACAGGCTACTTAGAAATCGAAAAATAAACTTATGCTGGGAACTCCACAATTTGACACGCACGAGTGTACTCATCATTAAGAGTATTCAGCTCGTGGAAAAAAGGGACCTCTGGGGCTCTGGGGGAGCTTTGTAAAGTGTCAGAAAGTAACCCTGAGGATGTCATATTGATGTAATCAGGGTTAGCTCAGTTTGTAACATAGAGGTGGCAAAAGAAAGTCCGTGTTAAAAACAGGGCCTGTGGATTTAAGAAAGTGGATATGTCCATTTGTCCATGTAAAAAGTACTGTTGCTTGTCTAATGTAGAAAGGTTCTGGGAGCCTAGGACTACAAGTCAAGATCACCCATGCACTCAACTGTCAAGCTGCCATGTGAAAAAGAAAACCTGCTAAACTGCTGAGGTGATGAAACTTTTTGCACCTAGCATGGTCAAAGTGACCAGTCCCAGAACAAGAAAACGTTACTGTTTAGAACAGACGTGTCAACCTCCCTTTAAATGTAGGGGTAGGACATCTAGACATTGTATTGAAGAATATTTGAACAGTCACTACAAGTATGATGCTAATGCAATGGAGCCTGCTGTAATTGGTCCAGCAATGAGGCATCTGACCTGCAGACTGAACACAGACTGCCAGGGTAAGAATACAAGCTATACATGGTCGCTCTGTATTAAATGATGAGGTCATAGCCTGATCGGTTATGCTTGTGCAAACCTGGGGGCAGTGATTTTAAAGCTTAAAATACAAAAAATACTATGTGTAGCTAAATTACACCTAAAGAAAACACAAGCACGACTTCTGTTAGCCTCCACCATCATCATCGTCCTCAATCATCTTCTTCTTAGAGGTAAGGGAAGTAGAATGGCCCAAATAAAACTGTGCGCATTAAAGTACATCAGAGATCAGTGTAGCGTCTTTACAGCGTTAACGGGGGAGTGTGTGTGCGTGTGAGTGTGCGCACGCGTGTGTGTGTGTGTGTGTGTGTGTGTGTGCGTGCTCCTGTTGGCGCACCAAGCTACCGCTGCAGTGAGCCTGGAAGACGAAGCCAAGAGCGAATGGAGTAAAAGCAGAAGGCCCCAAATAAACCGGCTCCTCGGAATAAAGGCTTCCCCGGCTGCTCGCACTCATCCGCCGCATTGTTCTGGTCAGTGGGAACCGCGTGTAACGGGTTCAATCGTTTACGTTTAGTGCGTCGTCCTGGTCCCCCGCACTACATCCCCCTCGACCCACGGTACAGCCGGTGCTTCCTGGACATTGGCATCTCCGCTCGTAGCCCGTGTCCCCCTGCCCGGCGCAGAACCCGCCACCCCGCTTACCTCCTCATCCTGCGGACCCAACTCCTCCAGGCCCTGCTCCCGGCCCGGCTCCCGCTCCGCGGTGTCTCCGTTAAAGACGGGCGGTTGGGTCTCGGCGCTGCTCAACGCCGCCATTTTAAACTGCGAGGAATGAGTGGAAAATAATGGGAACGGGAAACGCAGGCTGTTACTGACGACAGGAGGGGGAGACAGAGACGCAGGATGGGGGCTCCCAACCCTCAGGACTGGATGGGTGGCACAGAAGCACTATTTATCATTGACACAAACCGATTTTATTTCGATTATTATTCTATATTATATTATTTATCCTGATGGTCAATAAATGTATTTTTTTTTATTCTGTTCTCTGTGATTTTTATATTGTTTTGTTATCATTGTTGTCATTTTCATTATGCCATGGTTAGGTATTAAGAGTATAGGTGTCGCGGTTTGCTTCACGTCCTGTTTTATTTTGTAGTTTTCTGCCTCTTGTCTCCCTGGGTAACTTCACTTCCTGCCTTGTCATCCCCTGTGATTGTCTGTCTGTCATGATTGTTTCCACCCGTGTCCAATCACCTGCACCTCCCTAGTGTATTTAAGCAGTGTGTGTCACTTGTCGCGTCATTGTTGAATGTCCAGAAGTCCATGTCAGTGTTCCTGGTTCCTGTCTGTGTTTTTGCCCGTTGGACTTTTTGCTTTTGGGATTTGACTATTAAAGTCTTTTTGTTTCGAAACTCTGCGTTTGAGTCCTGCCTTTCCCCGCAATAGGGGATAGCGGGGTAATGTGAGACATTTTTTTACATTTGCTCCCCTCTAGGCAAGCTAAAATTATATCAGTACAATTTACACATTTCCCATTATTTCAGGATGTTTCCTAGCAAAGTTACCCCAGCTTAGGGGTGAACTAGAACTGATCCACTAATAGTTAAAACCCCGACCGCTAGATAGACAACCACACATTACAAAACTAATATCGGACTGGTAACAGAATCATGGGGATTGGTCAATTAAGCACATTTATTTAAACACTTGAAAGTAACTCCGAACAAAATCATATATAACATTTCATAATGTTTTGTCAACATTCAAATGACAGAACCAGTTAGATTAGAACACAGTCATGGGACCATAATCAAAACTAGCTAGAACAGTCTGGGACTCAGAACACAGGACTAGACCCACCTGGATTTGAACATCAGCCTCATACTCTATAAGAAGGCCTACTCAAGATTCCAGGCCTAAAGGTTACAAGGGAAAGATGAAGAGTTGCTCTTTCTGTGTGGTTCCTCCAGGCCTATTAGGTTGAAGCAGCTTCTTGTGTGTGTGTGTGTACACACACACACACACACACACACACACACACACACACACACACACACTCACACACACACACACACACACACGTCTGACAGTGTGCACTTTTCAAGCTGACAAGCACACAATTACTTGTTTTAGACTTTTATTCTGGAAATATAAATCATATCCTTCTAAATTCATGATTTGTACACTGTGTTAAAGCTTTACATAGCAAAAAGGTGTCACACATTAAAAGTGATCCGTAAAATGCAGTGTTAATGAAACACAAAAGAGTATATAATATATTTGATTTGGTAATAAAAGATAAAACGATAATGGATAATGTAATAAAAACATTGCATCAGTTAAACAGGGTTTCTTGCCCGCATGCAGATACTTGACAGAGATCATTTCTAGAATAGCATGCAGCTGATTAAATGCACTCATTCCACCAATTATGATCATAATAATTTATATGTGAATGTAAAAGCTATCAAATAAAAACAATGAAATCAAACATTACAAGAATAGTACATCTGAAGAAATGATCACGTAGGTGTGAGGCCGTAATGCCAAGGAGGGGGGCAGAGACAGGACATTCATGTGAGTGGGTCCCTGCAGCAACAGCAAATATGGGGTAATATGGAGTGTACACTGAGCAGATATCTAGCTGAGCAATGCAATCTGTGATTCGCTCACTTTAATAGATAGTGTGCTAATTACTACATTTGCTCAAAGCAAGCTGAGGAAAGCATTCTCTTGTTCTATCTGTTGAAATTCTCATTGCCTCACAATAGAAATCAATAAATAATATTATCAGGCTTCAGTATAAGGCCTGAAGGAACGCGTTGTGCCACATTTTAAATTTAGCAAACTAATGCTAGTGACCAGCCATGTAATGGTGGAAGAATACATTCCCACTTGTAATCATAGAATGCTATATTTCCCAATATTGAATAAGACATGATATATGATAATAATTAATGTAATAATGTATTGTAGCTCTTTTTATTTCAAAATGACATTTTTCAAATGTTTATTTGTGTCACTTTTTGGCCCAAATCTGACGAGTAATTGGTGTAAACCAACCGTCTATGAAAATGAACATGGAATACAAGTGTCAAATACATATTTCTATTGATAAACTAAATCTTAACTAAATGCATAAAAACTGTTATGACAAATAATCTTTTGGTAAATATTGTATGACATGAATGCAACATGACTGCTATGGTTGCTTTTAAAAATGGTGACGTAAACCTCACACACATCTCTTACCCCTTCTATCAGGGAAGACATGATTGAACAGAATCGGGATGCTGGTGGACTGCTGCTGTGGGTTTTACATTTGTGTAGACAAGCAGAAGTACACTGCTTTCAGTAAACTTTCATCACATATTTGGTATTTAAAGCGACAGATTGAGAGTGTTTCATGTCCAGGATGAGCAGAAGCTGCAGTTAGTGATAATCCAAACCCTCAAACTAAAAAAGCGTTAACAGCGCAGGCATGTGCGTCATGTTTGGCCAAACTGAGTGAATAGGTCAGACAGATTGTCCATTCCCCCAGACTGAAGTCATTTAGAGGATCACACAGCTGGACAAGGAGGCCTCTGCAGCACTGCTGAATACACACACACACACACACGAACAAGAAAACAAACTGTGTTACTGTAAAGGTCAAAGCACCTTAGCACGGAGGAGGACTTCAAGCTTGCCGAAACCGCTAGAAGAACAGAAATTATCCCACCTGTGCTCTGGAGCGTTAGTCGGCTTCATCCTCTTGGCGACGCTGCCCTCAAGCTCAACTGGAGGCTCCTGAGCATGTTCATTGGTCTCAGAGCTCCCCTTAAGAGGAGTACAAGAAGTTTTCACTCAACCAGTACATGGATGATTACTATTGAGTTAGAAGGCCTCTGAAAGTAATTTATCAGCATTCGTTTCATTTCAGTTCAGTATGAGCCTCCCACGTTGTAGTCATCTGGTGTACGACATTCAGCCATGCTAACCACGCTAGCCATGAGACTGCATGTGCAACAAAAGCAACAGGTATTATATTAATGTAATCTGCAATGTTTCCCCTATTGTTATAGTGGTTCTGATTGTATTTTTATATCTTGCACCAAATCAACAGTTCTTTAAGGTTTTCTTTTCTTAAGTTCTATGCAATAGTCTGTTATTAAATATTGTCTATTATTAAATAAACAATTTACATCAGCTGTATGTTGGTTTTAGGATCTTTCGTCATTGGAGATGACTCATGAATCCAAAGAGTGGTCTGTCTGTTAACTAGGGATGGGTATCGGGTTTGTTTTTTTTGATACCGGTGCTAAACCGGTACTTTTCAAACGATACCGGTGCCTAAACCGATAATAAAAACAATAATTGAAACAAAAAAGAAAGGGCTTTTTTTTATGCCAAGGCATTTTTTTTTTCTTCAAATTGAACAATATATTAACAGTTTAAACAATACCGTAAATATAAATGAAAACAGTTGGCTTTAAACTACAGCGTTGAATTTTTTAACTTAAACTATTAAACTATGAACAATATATTAACAGTTTACAGTACACTTAATGTTTCCCCTCTGTAAGAGCTTGAAGTTTATCTATCTATATCTACAGTATATAGTTCATTGGAATTGGAAATTTAGATTTATGGTCTGTGCAGGAACTAAAGATATGTAACATTTATATTGAAAAGCATTTATGTTGGATTTGTCTTGATTTATTGATATCATGATTGCAGCAGGTGCAACACAGAAGAGCTGCATGAGGGACGAGAGCATATTGTTTATCTACCGTGTGATAGAATTAATTATTTCCATATTCAGTTAAAAGATCCAAACGATCTTCCGTCATTCGCGTAAGGAAATGGAGTCACGTCTCTGCATTTCAATGTGGCTTAATGACGAACAACACCGAAGGAACAACGCTACATCCTCTGTTTATTACTTAGGTGGGGAACCTCCGACGGGAGGGGGGGTGGTCGTTGCGGACGTGCGCTCTGTGCGGCGAAAACACTTCCAGACTTTAATAACTGAGGGAAACTGATTTACATAAATATAAATATAAATAGAAGGTAGATGGCTAGCTAGCTACTGTTGCTACACAAGCGGTAAGCTATCGTTAGCTGCTGTGAGGACGGAGTCATCAGACTGTCTAAATAAATTTTTCAAACGGCTCAGGCACCGAAAGCAAGCACCGAAATCTGTGTTGCTTTTCGGTACGGTCGGTACCGGTTCTCGGTACCCAAACCTACTGTTAACCTAGAAGGCCTACAAAAGCTCTGGTTCACTGCACCTCAGCCACTAGCATACATGCAGGAGGCGGTTTTCTTACTTTTCTTTCTAATATATTGGTTGCTTTGATAAATCGACTAATCTCTAAAATTGTCCAAAGATGAATCTGTATCAAATTTGTAATACTAACAGCCGTACAAACATTATTTTAACTTAATGCAACGCATAGCTACTTAACTGCCACGGTTAGGTTTGGTTTAAATAACTTTTGTACTTTGTGCACTGTATAATCTCCAAAAATAGAAGAATCAAGCAGAGGCATTGTATGACCACATACTCAACATGAAATGACTCGGATAAGAAAATATACAACATCCCAAATCTCTCTAATCTAATGGTCACTGGTCGATCAATCAATCAGATGATCCCTGGCTCCTCTGTCCTTGGGCAAGACACAAGCCAAATTGCTCGCTGTTGTGTATGAAGGATTCGTGGGCACCTTTTATGGTAGCATGTGACTGTGACAAAGAGCAACATCATCCTTCATTCTGAGACGTGCTTGCATTAACGCTCACTCTTTTTAGCTCTGATTTGATCTCCTGAGAATAATAGCTAAAACAAAAGCAAAGTAGTTCATATCTAACTTTTTGAGATATCCCATAAAGGTTGTGGAAACTAAGGAACAGCTGGAAAAGTTCTCTGCTCCATTTGTTGTCCTACTCTATGTACGTGAGTGAGGGGACTCAGGAAGTTAGGACTTGAGTGTCTGCATGTTTGAGGTGTCTGTGTGTGTCTCACCATGTTTCTCTTCCTGCTGCTGCTTGGCGTGTTGTGGCACACGACGGCTGAGCGGAGGGGTCTTCGGCACAACTCAACCTCCCTCTGATGGACCAGCGTCTGCTTACCCTGCAGCTTCCTGTAGAAGACACACCGGGTCAACATTCAGAGTATTCACAGAGACATACACACAGCTCAAACAGCATGTCTTTTACAGCAGGAATCTCAGAGAAAACACTTTTGGGAGTTGACCAAATGTCAGGTGTTCTACTAATACTACATCATAGGCCATCCTCACCACAATACCACTCGGTAAGTGAGAGAAGTCCCTCATTGCCACAAAGCAGCGTCCGGCTCCAAAAACGATCATTCTAGGTAAGGGGGTGGGGGCGGCACTTTTGCCTATCTCATTAAACTGAGCACTGGGAGGCCTCCCTTATTATAGGAGAAGACCTGTCCCAACGGTCCACACCAAGCAGGTCACGCTACTTTTGGAGTTTAGAGTTCAGGTCACACTGTTCCCCACCGTGGCCCCTTGTTTATGTAACTCTGTAGGGCAAAGTCTCAGTGTTTGCTTTGTCCGCTGTGGGCTGCTCTTCACAGAGTGTAACATCGTGGACACTTTATGCAAACATGGAAGTCTCATTACAAGCTGGTTTTAGGGGATTTTGCATAAGTGACCTTATTATAATACCCTCCATGTGTGCTTATACATCCCCAAAAATCCTACACACTGGTCCTTAAAAAAGCAATACATAATGCAGAGAGAAGTGTGTCCCCCTACAGACCTCCTCAACTCTTTGAGTTGAATGTCCCCATCATTTCCTCCAACTATAATGACAATTTAGTTAACGTGTGAAAAACATCAAGGCGCAGTAACCCGGTCCAGTTGCCATAAAATGTTTTTGATTCTCGCCTTGACTGATGTTTTGTGTGCGGGAATCAAACATTCTTAAAATAAAAATAAGATACTGCCATCTTGTGGTTAACAGCCAATACTCTATTTGGATAAAATAAAATAAGTTGAGATTGCGGTTGACTGGGGGTTACAAGGTTTAAATGTTTTGTTCTTTTGTTCTTTCTCAATGTTTTTACAGAATCATGGAGTAATCAGCTCAATAACAGAGAGCCGACTGTGAAATGAGTCAGATTCATGTTTTGGTTTAAAAAGTTTAAAAAGATCTAATAAAAAACACTTTGAATCTGTAGACTACTGCCTAATAGTCTTATTACTGCTATTTGATGACAATTGCATATACAGGAAGCCAAATAAGTATATTTATTATTTTTAACAAAGGTAAAATGTTATTTCACAGTTTTCAAAAATGCCTCATAATTCCTATGAAACGCCCGTTTTCAGTCAGTGGGGGGAAAATTGCCCCCTTAAATAATATGTAAATTTCCTACTCTGGTTGGTGGTCCAAAATAGATTGCAGAAAACAAAAACACCAACCAACAACTCTTAAATCTGACAAATCTTCATTTATGACCAGAGGACATATAGACATGATTTAAGATTTTTCTACAAGTAACTCATCAGAATGAATATTATCACCAATACGTAATAAACTACATATGTACTATGGAAATGACCAGAGCTTCACACTACATATATAATACATGCATCTGACCTGAGAAGGTGGAGAAGTCAGAGAGCAGGGGCCTCATTTATAAACGTTGCGTACGCACAAAAGAAGGTGTACGCCACTCTCTATGCAATAATTGGTATTGTAACGTTCCGTGTCAATAAAGAGCCAGTTTCTTATCACTCGGGTTTATTGTTGCCTGTTTTCGGCCACAGCCACGCCATTCCACAACACCCGGTCATTTTCTAGTCAACTCAACTTCCCCTTCCTGTGCTCCCCGAATTACACACATTACCCCGGAAGGGGCGGTACCCCAACCCTGGCCTACGTAACAGTAACATTAATCAGAACCATATACATTTATGAACTTAAGACACGCTACAGTATTTATAAAAAGCAAACCGTTCTTGCATTTGCCGACGGTTCTCATTTCACCCGTTTTTGTGCGTACGCATGGGTCCGAGCTTGCGTGAAGGACCGCACATTTTTCCGTCAAGTTTGCTTTTTATAAATACCAATTATTGTGTAGAGAGCGGTGTACGCCTTCTTTTGTGCCTACGCAACGTTTATAAATGAGGCCCCAGGTGTCCTCACACACATGGCGGTTCCTCATCCCCACCGCAGAGCAGTCGAGCAGTTTAATGATCACTTCCCCTTTCCGTTGCCAGTAGATCATTGCATAGTGCATGTGTGTTCATATGTATGTCCTATCTTTATTTAGCTCTGTAATCAAGCCTGACTGACTATTCAAACCCAAATTATAATTTACACAGACGCTTTCTGACACCCAGTCTCCTCTCTGACAAAAATGGACCAATTAGCCGAGGTTGGACCCTGGCGGGCCAGGCGGGCATACTAAGGTCCGGATGATCAATGACGACGCACAGTCTGACGTACAAAGGTTTCACTAATACATTCTTTACCCGCTGAGATTTAAGAGGATCAAACCCCTTCACACACTCAGCCCACGATCGATTCTTTATAAGAATGACACATACAGACACTGACTGATGTCAATAAGATGAATTGATGTATGAAATGCAATCCCCATGTATTTACTTTTGGTGGATGCATTTTCTGTGTCAGATGTTAGTTTGAGAGGGTACCTTTTTAGGTTTTTCTTTTTAGCCAATATGCGTCGCATTGTTGAAGAATACAAATTGAATGTATTCCGTGCCCTTGGAATCATAATTCATTCAGAAACATCCACAGAGCCGGGTTTTTTTTTACCATTAAATGGACTTTTAATGTACTTGTAAAGTTGTCCTCTGACTCCTATCCACACACAAGCTGTACGAGGATACCACCATATCACTTTTATACCCCCGGGCCAGGGGGTTCCCAGGACAGACTATGTTGTATGTACCGTACTGTTTGTGGTACACTTTTAAAGTCCAGTTTAGACATTTTCTAAAAGGTAAAACTAAAAGATGACAAACTATTTCTGGGTCAACGATGCCAATTAAAATGGGGCAAAATGGTGCAATCATCAGTACAATTTGACAATGCACATCCTTCAATACGGAACAAACGTTAGAGTACAGAATATGAACACACATGCATTATGCAATGATCTACTAGCATCAGAAAGGGGAAGTGATCAGGAAACTGCTTGACTGCTCTCAGGTGGCGCTGCTTAATGAAGACCTGTGTGTGTGTGTGATGTTGGGCTAGGTGGTATACCGGTTCAAAGATTTCCTTACGATATGAATTTCTCACGTACCCTTCATACCGGTGTTACGCCGTAACAACTGACATTGCTCTTCGGCAGGCGGCACAATTTATTTGTACACGTCATCCCGAAACGTACAGCTGTCGGAGCTACTTCTTTTGAGATTGAGTTATGGTACTTTATAACAACAATAAATCACACAACAAACACTCTTTAACAGCGTAAAACACGAAGTAACGTGTTGCCAAATGAACACACGGAAAAGAGCGATACAGGAGGAACAATGAGAGACTAGAGATGCATCAACACAACTTGTGCCCAAGAGAAGAGTTGGGTCTGTTTGGGGAGGTTTTAGTTTTGGAAAATCTGACAAGTTAGATCAGAAAACGAGCTAACATGCGCTAACGAGCTAACACGCCAACTCGCCGGCCAGTTGCGAGCGAGCAGGCCAGCGAATGGCGAACAGCTGGTCTTTTTCAGGGTCAATGAATCCAGGGCTCTCAAGTGTCACGCATTGAGCGTGACAGTCACTCATTTCGGTCTCTAGTCACACACTCCCGCCACACATCCAACCCCACCCGTCGCGACCGTATCGTCCGCAAACACCTCCCCCCACGTCGGCCAGCGTCCACCCCCGACAAAATGTCACTCCAAGGTTTCTTGAAAAGTTGAGAGCCCTGTGAATCAATGTGTTTACTTGAAAAAACAATACCGTCATATTTCTCGGGATACCATCAGAATCTTTCTAAATACCGTGAGCCCAGCCCTGGTGTGATGACACCTAATCGCAGTCATTTTTACTAAATCAGAGTGGATTACCCTTCTCATTCTTTGTATAAAAGCACTGATGTACTATTACCAATGACCAATAAGTCTATTACTAATGGCTCTAAACTTGCATACTAGCAAGGACTTCTTGTAGATACCCAGAGTGAGTGTATATAATACTATGTGAGTTACAGACCTTGGGAGTGAGTAAGTGAGTCAGGTTGGCTGCGGGACGGGTTGAGGTTAGGCAATGAGTTTTGATGTTCAAGGTGAGGGCAGGGGGCGAGTGAAAGCATTATGTCATTATAAGCATACATGTACAAACGCGTGTGTGTTGGCGTGTAGCAGGTACGTGCCCAATAGCTGCGCTCAGGCTTTGGAACCAGTCGTTGAGATCCTCCTGGTTGCAGGACATCAGCAGGAGTTTGGCTTTGGGGAAGGTTAACTGGAGGAAGAGGAGAGATGGCATGATAAGGTTGCATGATAGAACTTTTGAAGTAACCATAATCAGGGCTGGACAATAAGGCCAAAATTGTCTATCCCGGTAAAGGTCTTTATATCTCCATTACGATACACATCTTCATACAGCATGCAATATATTTATCTATTGAAACACCAGAGAAGATTAACATACATAAAGCCCGCCTTTATATTTGCATGTGTGAATTATGTTCTCATTTTATTAAGAACTTCAGAGCAAAATTACATTAACATGTAATTGTTACACAATATCTCAATATGATTTAATCACATCTTCCATTAGTTAAATCATCATGTTAAATTATTGAACAATCCTACCCATAATTCTATTTTCCATGAGCATCTACTACCTAAAAGTTAGGGGCGTAACGATTCATCCACTGAATCGATTAATCGATTTATATTCCTGCGATCCAACTGAATCGATCTGTGCTCCGCAAATCGGCATTCCGGACGACATATATCGATTACAAATCGATTGAAATGGTACATAATCGATTGTATCGATACTTGGAAACTGCACATTGGATTGAAGTACAAAAACTGTATGGATGTGTGTTTGTTTTTTAGCACTTTAGACACGTTAAACGTTACTCGTTTCAGTCTGCCTGTCTGACGTCATCAGTACGCAGCGGCAGCCGCGCGAAACTCTGAACAACAACAAAACACAGCGTGGAGGAGACGACTGCGAGCAAGATATTTACAAACTAACTTATCGATCCAGCGTGTGGAAACATTTTGGCTTTTGCAAACACGGAGGTGTTCTAAATAAGTCGGTCGCTGTTTGTAGAATATGTAGAAGCCAAATAAAAAACCACGGAAACACGCCGAATCTTTCCGGCCATCTACTAAGGCGCCGTGGGATTAAACAACGCTGACAGTCAGGCACCTCTAGCAGCGTTACCACTGCAGCAGCAGCAGCAGCAGCAGGTAACTCCAGCTCTGCAGACACCTCAGGCCTCGCCAGCACGAAACTCAACATCACAGTAACAATTGGCAAGTTTATCTGTAAAGACATGCGACCCTACAATGTGGTTGAAAATCCGGGGTTCTGTAAATTGATCCAAACATTGTATAATTATTGTGTAATGTTTACATTGAAAATGGCACTTGATTCAAATAAAAGGTTAATACATTTGCCATTAATTTTGATTTGCTTGTTTATAATATACATAATTAATTTAAACCTTATTTCCTTACAAGAAACAACAGGGATCTCGGAAACTTTGCCTGCACTGTCCAGTAAAGTTACTGAATCGATTTCAAGTCACTGAATCGAATCGTTCTAAATTAACCCAGATCGTCCATGAATCAAATTGGCAACCATGAATCGCGATTCGAATCGAATGAATCGTTACACCCCTACTAAAAGTACACACACAGACCAATATAGTATACGAGAATGAAACGGTAACATTTCTGAATGTCTAATTGGACCTTTACAGATTTTTCTAGGACATTCTTCAGCAGCTGCAACCAGATGTAGCTATGCTAGAGGCATGAGAACAATACAAACCGATTCCTCAGCATCTGTATGTATCTTAGTATGTAGCCATGATACTGCAGTTACATTGTAAAAACAGGAGAGGGCAGGCCAAAGCAAGCAAAAATCTCATCATACAGCAGAACCCCCTGGGGATCCTCAAAGGCCTCCAACACACTCAAAACACTGAAAGAAACAAGGGAGATGTCACATTAACAGGAACAACTGACCTGTTCTCAGGACTCCTTCACAGAGTGACAGGGTCAGAGTGTGGGACAGAGTGACTTCCTTTGAGTGAGCAGTAATCAATAAGGCACTCATTTGCGTGGCTCGAGCCAGCTTCAGAATGTTCTAGTCTAACATACCAAAAGGATTTGTTCAATCCCAGACAAAAGGGGCTTTTACGGCGACATAATTACACAGCGGGAGCCATTACATGGGATAGAAATGAGGCCTGCAGAATATTAAATGACCCCTCACATTTACCTGCAATCTCTACAAAGGAAGCAAGCTTGTTGACAGGTGACATATTGATTATTCCCATGCGTATTTGGACAGAACTTACTAAAGAAAAAGATGACGTACCATCATCAAGTAATATCTAATTTCATAGTTCAGCGACTGGGGCCGAACTGAGTGGCGTACAATATAAGGCCCTCGCCACTTGGGGGACGGCGGTTGATGTAAGCACAAATAGAATCCACTTCTATTCCGATGCAGTAATTATGGATTTGCCATTGTCCAATCTGACCCTCTTAAGTAAAAATGACTTTTTATAATAAGAGACGGAGGAGCACGGAGCCTCATCGGCACACAGAATTTAGCTTGATTATTTATACATCAAAGGGAATGTGTCAAGGATGTGAGAAAATATTCAAGCAGCAAGGAGGATATTAGGGGGAGGAAGCATGTAGATGGAGAGGGGGAGGGAGAGGGACGAGAGAATAAGGAAGGTCGGCAGATGGAGGGACAGGAGACAAAGGATGAGGAGGAAAAAAATGTAAGTTATGTCAAATAAAAGCTAGCCGTCTACAAACATGTGTGACCAAGAAAAAGGTATCGTCCCCCCTTTTAACAAAAAGGTATCGTCCCCCCCTTTTAACAAAAAGGTATCGTCCCCCCCTTCAGACTTTGCATATAGATTGCCATGGCATTTACAGCTGTCAAATTAAATTTGCCTTTAATTCTTCATGGCCCTGGACGAGGAGGGCCCCGGAGTGCTGACAGCCCTTTTCCTTGAGCTCAGGAAGGGGCCCGGGATCAATAATGTGTCCTTATGAGAAATTATGTGTAACGCTATCGAGTATGCATTTGAGCCTCGGCGGGATAAGAGGCTAATGAAATGCCATTTCTTCCATTAGATAACGCGAGGCGGCTCAGCGACAGGCCCTGAGGAAGATGTATTTACTGGAGGGCCGGAAGAGACTGATATGCAGTCTAATCTGATCCAGCTACTTAAAGATTCTGGTACAGGCAGCGCGCATGCACGCACGTACAGAGAATAATCACCTAATCATTAGTCCCTTGAAGAACCTTTAATTCTCGCAAGCAACGGCAGCGGCTCATGACAACGAGTCCCACATCTTTTGTTTATTTCTCTGGACTAATGAATGGTCCAGAATCCTATTGTCTCATCACAGGTCTTAATTCAACCAAATTATAACACTTTTGAGGCTAACGAACATGTGTATGCACTACTAAAAGTTTACGTATCAATTACTCATTTGATATAAATCAGAAAAAGTCTTCAATCAAATACACATTGAATGCAAATCCTAGTTTTTTTTTAGAAAAAGGGGTTGTTATTAATTTTAATTAAAATACTGCCGAGTAGTGCAAAATGTTTGAAATGATTCTACCTTTCACCAACAGCTAAAAACATAAAACTTGTTACAGCTGGTACTGGTTACAGCTTCTTAAATGTGCTGCATTCCTCTTTTGGAGGTTGTTCATAACAATAAGAAAATCATTGAGAAAACATGAATTCTAATGTTTCACTTGTGTCAGTAGCGTAAACTGTTGGTGCTGTGAAACGTCACAGCGAGGGGGACAGGACTCCTCACACCTCTGTGCAGAACAACAACAGCTCCTTCTGCCTACATTAATATTGATACCATGCAGCATTGTATTAAACACTTCCGTTCCTCACTCAATGCCGCAACTCATTCCTTTGAATGTTTCATGACGGCAGCTACTTAATTTGGACACAATTTGTCAGTCGGCATCTGTGCCGAGACCTGGTTAGACGGATCAGACCGAGAGGAGAGACGAGTTCAACTTCTGGAATACTTGGACAAGGGTTTGAAGTGATTAAAGAGAAATCATAGCCAAAATACATTTTAATCCAAAAACCTCTTCAAGGAAGATTATACAACAGCAAGTAAGACAAATCAGAGCAACATTTATTGGAAGTGAAAATTAAATAATGCTAAGGACTCACTTGTGTGTGTAGTCAAATCAATCAACGATCAGATGCCTCCCAACCTGTTACCAAACCAACACTCAGCGTATGTTCAACTTTCCCCAATGTTTTTAACACTTTTTAAACACTTTTTTTTACTTTTTGGTGTTTAAACCACTTCAAGACACCATGTGAAAAATGTATTATGTATGGCTCAGATTTTCAGTACCCAACCCTACCAAACAAGGCTCTCTTAAATGTAAACCTATCCTACCCTCACTTGGAAAATATATTAAAGAAAATGCTTAAAAATATTCTTCCCACCTCATCTAAAATCTCTGACCCCTTAACTTAGTTACATGACCACCACCGGCCTGACACTCACACTGAGCAGACCTCCCTGGCTCCTGGTGTGGCCAAACACCTTCTCCACGCTGCAGCCCTGCAGGGGGTAGGCGTGCTGGCCTGCAAACTTGTCTCTGCTGGTGAGCTGCAACTTGGCCTGCAGCAGCATGTCGGAGAACAGGAAGAACATCCTGGGCGTCGTGTCCGCCCCTTTAGGAGGAACCACCGTAAGCCAGCCCTCGCGGATGTACCATCTCCCTGTGAGAGGAGGGAAGAACACATGGAAACAGAGACAATCGTTATCCAATACAGCTGGGACAGATCTCACCTGTAATAGTAGCAAAAAACTTTTCTCACAATTTGGTGAGGTTTGGGCAATACAATGTAGACGAAGCTTTATCCACAAAAAAAGTGACAAAGCTATTAGAGGCAACAACTTGATTATGTATATATACAGTATATTTTTATTTTTCCCATTAATGGGACTTAACAGTCCATAGACTTATATATTCTTACATATGAATAGCATCACACAAGGCCTATGTACTGTATAGTATAAAAGCGAAATATAGAATTAAAACCAGTTGCAAACTGTCAAGTAATTGCACAGAAAAATGAATAAAAGTAAAAGGTAAATAGTAAATGAATACAAAAGTGATCAGACGTCTCTTGATAAGGTTATCATGAACATACAAGCTATCAATCTCCTTCCTATAGCCAGCTACTCGGCTGATGAATAAACTTGCTAAACACTGACTATGCACTAGCCTGGACAGCACGCTAGCGTCATTAGCATTGATCGCTACCTTGATATTATAACTATCACCACGTATATACAATAGTCTATGTAGCGAGAACCAGAAATAAATTACACATCAAGCTAGTTGACATCGGTCACACTCATAATTATTTACTTTGACTAGCCATCCGTTAAACTTCAAGATCTGAAGAATGAATTTGTGACAATCGTTATCCAATTTCTTCATTTAACATGGACGTTACAACATACTTTTTGTGCAACAGTTGTGTTTTTTATTTTCACACTATAGAAAAAAAATGAATGTACACTTATTGTGCCAAATATTTTTGTTACTGTAAAGCATACAGGCACGCGTGAAGACAAATAACATATTTTATTAGCAAAGAGTAATATACAGGACATTCTGCGAACATTAGCAGGCTTTTCATTTTAAGCTAACTATTGCCAAGGCTACAATTATATAAGTCCCAACAAATGATAGATGATCAATGATTGAAGCTTGAAGACATAGCGGCAGATATTAGACCTCTTGCTGATGTCTGGTCAATGATCATGGAGGTACTGGATTTTGTATGCTTATAACGCAGTTAACATTTAATGTCCCATGCTGCTCAGCTCAGTTTCTTTCCAGAGGTTGTCAACATTAGAGATCTTAGAATGGAGTTATTTTTGATTTAAGGTACTGTCAAACCGCAATGCTGGATAACAAAATGATTAGAACATAATAAATAGCAAATTTGGATTAATCACATGCCACTGAACTGCAAACAAAGATAACTTCATAACATTCAGATGGACCACCAATGCAGGTTCAACCAGCATCAATGTCAGTATGAAAATGATTTTAACCTTGCACAACTGCAGAGAATACATATAATGAGAATAATTAAGCCATGTTGCATTGAAAAAATAAATGAGGATGAAATAATCTAAGTAAGAGGTAAGCAGACTGTGAAGGAACCTCTCATCTCTTCCTCCTTGATTGGCAGCGGCGTGATGATAGCTAATAAGCAAGAGGCTGACATTTGGATAGATAAGATGAGAAATATTGCCTGGTTGAGGGTGTTTTTGTAATTTCAGCTAGCTTGAGTGGCCGAAGCTGTGCCTCTGGGGCAAAGAGCGAACATTTTCAGGTAGACAAGCCCACTAAGATTAAGTGGCCGGGGCCAGGAGGGGGTCAAATTGCTTTTAAAATGCCACGGGTCTCAAATCGAACCATCAGGAAACACACCGTGACTCTCTCAGGTGTTGCATGGAGATTGGTTTTGATTTTAATTAAAATTATTTAAAATAAAACCTGCTTGAGCCTTATACAACCCTTTAAAAGGACACAGAACAAGAAGTCATTATGGATGTATTGTTACAATAACCACTCAGTTCAGGACAAACAGGAATTAAGGAGAAATGTAGTGGAAAATGTCCACACTAAACAGATCCCTAGCACCCTCAGCTCTTTCAACTGACGGACCTGAGGCTTTTATCCTTTGTTGTAAATGACATATTACATTGTAGAGAACTCAGTGTTTCCTCAAGGTTTAGAGCTTTGGGGGGGAGGGTGCTCTTTGAGTTTTTTTAAGGTATATATATTCAAGGTATAGACAAGGTTTAGATTCTATAGATTACTTCGGTTGTGATCTGGCCCTGTATAGAAAATATAATTAAACTAAATTAACCTGACTTGTGGAGAATATAATGGTTGGGGACACTAACTATTCACCGGTATATATGTGTTTTCTGGCCTCAAAACCGCAGTAAAAGGACATTTTACTAAATTGAATGTAATGCTTTAAGATCTTTGAAAGAGGTACGAGGGCCAAGAAGAGGAATTGCAGGGCCTGCATTGTTCTGAGTGACAAGTCACATTTTCAGCTACGTTTAAATGCTGCGGCTTAGCAGCTAGCTATCTTGCATGCAAACTGACATTAGCAGGGCAATCTGTAAGAGTGTAGCAGGAGAGTAGCAAATTGGGTTGTTGTAAACAAAGATACGACATCATTGGGAGACAACAGAATATGTTGTCACATAAAATGAATGCCTGAGTGGTTATGTATTTCATGTTCACTCAAGCATCAGAATGCTGCCAGTGTCCAGTGTGCTGAAACTGATGCGTCTCAGTGTGCTGATTATACAGACGCGATGGGATCTCCCTCTGCTTTGCTCACTTTTAAGAGTCTGACCATAAGTCCTGTGTTTTACAGTTTAGAAGGGGGCAGGTCTGTACTGTTAAATAAACAGTAAGTTATTAAGTTAAATAAAATGGACAATAACCAAGTGGCTCAATGTTTACTCTGGTCAAACAAGAAAAAAAAAATGACTAGAACTTGAAATAATTCCGGTGCTACTTTGGAAAGAAATGTGTAGTTTTCCTAACCTTTAATGTTGTATCAGATGCCCCCCGTCAGACCCCCTGATGGACAGTTGACAGATACAGTGGTTGGATTAGCTTTTTGTGAAGAGCATTCTCTTTGTGGGCAAGTTCTCGTCATACCCCCTCGTTCTCATCTGACCATCCACGGTGCTTTGAGGGAGCAGCAGGTTCAAAGAGAAGGAAGTGCCAAGCACTCCTCTCCATGTCCGGGCTTTTCAGCTTCCCTTGTCAAAGACCACCTTTGCTCTACTACAAAGTCTTTTTGGGCTGAATCAAGTGTGGGTGTGTGTGTGCGTAGGTGAGGGAGGGTGTCGAGGGGGGCGAGGAAGGAGGGGCAGGAACTAAAGATTGATCTACAAAGGGACCTGTTCCCCCCTGATGTGTCTGAATAACAGAGGTGTCGCTGCTGTGGCAGAACAAGGGTTGAGACAACGACTTCTTTTACTTTGTTTATGACCAAACAATATGGGAGTTTTTTATTTTAGTCAGAGATGAAGTCCAGTGGAAATTAAAATGCATCAAAAGCAATAGTAGCTATCCGGAAATTATGGTGGCATGTCCCATAAGAGCCAATGCCTTGGTGTGCAAAAGTGTGTTATAGTGTCCATTTGTTTTGGCAGCAATTAATTTTAAAATCACTTTTAACTATTTACAACTAGCGTCAATTGCCTGGTGCATGTTGGCAATCAGGCTTAAAATCCACTATAGCAATGCATGAAATATATTTTTAAAGAAATATTACACAGCGGTCTTGGAAGAAGAGGGCTAATTCGTTTGAAATCCGTTGAAATATTACAGTTGTGTCCATCTGTTGAATGGTTGACTTATTACGTTTTTACACTCTTTTAGCTTTTTACTTTGGTTTCTTTTCTCTCTTTGCTGATATTGACCGATTATCAGTCATAACCAGAAAAATAGAATTCTCTTAAAAGCAAAACCCACAGTGAATCAGGAATCAGGATCAGGAAACATTTATTGCCAAAATATGTCAAACAAACAAGGAATTTGTCTTGGCGGTTGGTGCATGACAGACAGTGTAACAATAGACAACAAGACAGCAGTGTACAAGTAATAAAATAAAGTAAAATTAAATGCTAATGCAATGGGTTAGTAAAAAAAAATAAGGCTATGGGTTAGTATAAAACAAGGGAATGAAGTTAAAGTTAAAAATTTAAAATATTAAAAAAGTTTAAATATTAAGCATAAAGTGCACTAGCGAACAAGTAACAAAGTGACGAGTGACGACAAAGTGATCATTTACAGTTAAAGTGACATGTGCAGTGTGAAGGGGAGAGACCGGTGGAATGTTATAGTCAGTCAGTGGGGGACCGGGCTCTGTTGATGAGCCCGACTGCCGACGGGAAGAAACTGTTCGTGTGGCGGGAGGTCTTAGTCCTAATGGACCTCAGCTTCTCAGTTTCTGTCCGGGGTGAGAGGGGTCGGCCACGATCTTTTTAGCTCGCTTCAGAGACCTGGAAGCGAACAAGTCCTGCAGGGACGGCAGATTGCAGCCGATCACCCTCTCTGCAGAGCGGATGACACGCTGCAGCCTGCCCTTGTCCTTGGCTGTTGCTGCAGCGTACCAGACGGTGATGGAGGAGTAGAGGATGGACTCGATGATGGCCGTGTAGAAGTGGATCATCATCGTCTTTGGCAGGTTGAATTTCTTCAGCTGCCTCAGGAAGAACAACCTCTGCTGAGCCTTCTTTGTGATGGAGCTGTAATGTTCAGCTCCCACTTGAGGTCCTGGGTGATGATGGAGCCCAGGAAACGGAAGGAATCCACAATAGTGACGGGGGAGTCACACAGGGTGATGGGGGAGGGTGGGGCTCTGTTCCGCCGGAAATCCACAACCATCTCCACTGTCTTTAGAGCGTTGAGCTCCAGGTTGTTCTGGCTGCACCACGACACCAGATGGTCAGACTCCCACCTGTAGGCGGACTCATCCCCACCAGAGATCAGTCCAATGAGGGTGGTGTCATCCGCAAACTTCAGGAGCTTGACGGACTGGTGACTGGAGGTGCAGCTGTTGGTGTACAGGGAGAAGAGCAGAGGGGAAAGAACGCAGCCTTGGGGGGAACCGGTGCTGATGGTCCGAGAGGCTGAGACATGTTTCCCCAGCTTCACGTGCTGCTTCCTGTCAGACAGGAAGTCTGTGATCCACTTGCAGGTGGAGTCGGGCACGTGCAGCTTGGAGAGTTTGTCCTGCAGCAGAGACGGGATGATGGTGTTGAAAGCAGAGCTGAAGTCCACAAACAGGATCCTGGCGTAGGTTCCTGGGGAGTCCAGATGCTGGAGGATGTAGTGGAGGGCCATGTTGACAGCATCGTCCACAGACCTGTTGGCTCTGTAGGCAAACTGCAGGGGGTCCAGGAGGGGGTCGGTGAGGGACTTCAGGTGGGTCAGGACTAGCCGTTCAAAAGACTTCATGACTACAGAGGTCAGGGCGACGGGCCTGTAGTCATTGAGTCCTGTGATCCTGGGCTTCTTGGGAACAGGGATGATGGTGGAGGCCTTGAAGCAGGCTGGTACGTGGCAGGTCTCCAGGGAGGTGTTGAAGATGTCAGTGAACACCGGAGACAGCTGGTCAGCACAATGCTTCAGGGTGTGAGGGGAGACGGAGTCCGGACCGGCGACAATTATCAACAATGACTTCATAGAATATTCAATAAAAACAATGACGATCTTGTTTACTTAAATAGTTTGAATAGAGAGGTACCAGTATTGTATAAATACAGGACTTTTTAATGACTGCTTCAAAACTCCTTGTAGTAGCTTTAAGATGATGAAACCAAGTGAACTCAGGAGTAGGGCTATAGGGGAATACCTCAGACTGCAACTGAATATTTTCATCATCTCTATCTCTATTGTTTTAGTACCTACTTTAAGTAGTCAGGTACATCCCCACTACTACGTTTCCATTTAAAAATGCATATCTTCTACTTTGTTTCCACCTCGTTTCGACGCTACTCTGGAGGTTTAAAAGCCCAACATGTAGGGTTTGGATAGGTTTTAGTTTTGGATACTCCAGGGTTGCCGTGCATGGTGGGTCGGTGGAAACGCAGAGCTTTGAAAACAATAACTGAGACACCTGGCTTTGAGAATCTCCGTCAATGCCTATGTGGACCAAGATTGTTTTTCCATTTAAACCCCAGGTTTGAATAGAAACATAGTAGCCAGCCTGTAATCTTTACAGGACTTCAAGCAATGCAGTATCATAACATATGCTAGGAAAGTCCACTCTGCATTTGTATAATGTTATAATGTTATGTTACATTTTTTATTTTTCTCTCAATTAACCAATAAATCTTCTAAATGTTTCAGCACTAAAATTATCAATATCCTATGGGTATCTAACAAAGTTGTCTGAATGACCTCAAACACCATCAGGTGCCATTGTCAGGAACATAAAAGGGATATTAATGGGAAATAATCAATGTGGAACAGGACAGAAAATGTGAGACATCTTTGTTTCAAATTGAAGGAACAGGCAGGCAGACACAAATCTGCGGTCTCCCAGGGAAACCGGCCGACTGTCTGCTGTATCGATGTCCCATTGATTCAGGCTTTGTGTCTCACAATTGCACCCCCCCACACCTCCTACAGAGCTACTTAATATGTTTGAGAGGGTCCCGTGCTTCTCATCTGTATAAGACAGAGCACTTTTCTTTTACCCACATTAGAGGCGGTGTTGGTGGGAAAGAAGGAGAATGGGGCGGGCTGGCGCTGCTGCTGATGCTACTCTGAAGTCTGCCTGGTGGGACCGGAGCTTTATTAGCTGGAGAGGAAGCCGGCGGAGTTGCAAGGGCCTGAGAACTCAGATGAGAGGAAGCTTTTGAAACTCCCCACATCAGCATTAGAGAAATGAGCTGCTATTCAGCGCTCACTTCCAGCCTGTACTGACACATCCGCAAATATACACATACACACAGAAAAAGGAAAATAAATACATTGGCAGCTTTGTGCGCTTGTGGATTCACTCATATGCATCAAAAACACACAAACACACACACACACACACACACACACACACACACACACACACACACACACACACACACACACACACACACACACACACACACTTTGGCTTCCTTTTTATCTACTGGTCCACAAGATGAGGCTGGGATCTAATTGGTCCTGGGGGAGATTGGCTGGGTAAGAAGAGCAACGAGGAGGCCAGACAAACAACAGGAGGGGGAGTGGCAGCTAAAAGTCGAGGGAACCACAATGGAAAGAGGAAATAATAGAGGGGAGGGCAGGATTTAAGGAAGAAGCACACTCGCTCACTAAAAGTTAGCAGTAATGCTCTTTTAATGAAGAGGCTCAGTGTCCTTAGGTTAGCTAAGTTTCCTGAAGAAAGTACATTAAAAGCAATCTAGTCAGAAAGTCTGAATACCATTTACATTCAATTTTTCTACTCCCATGTTTTCCAAACGACGTGGCACAATGAATGCAGAGAGGTTGAGAAGGGATGGAGACGGTTCTTGAGGAATGGGGGGAAAGAAAGGAATATGCGATCAGCTCTAACCTTCAGCCAACACCTTTGTCTTTTTCCCTTTCAGCAGTTTTTGCACCCTGCATAGCTGAAGGTGGTTCTCATGGCGCCTGGTATTGTTCTGGATACGCTGGAACACCTCGTTCACCGCATCCACCGCCCCTGACGGAAAGACAGACACACACGCATCTGTTTGACCATGCATATGTAAACATGAGTTGATGAACTCGTTTCTGAGTTATACTATGTATTTAGTATATCAAATACCTGACAACCTTGTGTGATGAAGTACCCAAATCTGTTGGGTACTGAATTGTGAGTTATGAAAGACGTCACTTGATATTTAAAACAGATATTCCTGTCAGGATCAATTCACATTGGCAAATTCATGGCCTTGCCTATTGCTGGTATTTGAGCCATTATATGAATATTGGCTTTTATCCGAGAATTTATTGTATGTTGTAAGAGGGGAACAAACTACGACGTGACCAAACAGTGTTTCCCTTAGGTTTACTGCTTTTTGGTGGGCGGGTGGCTGCGTATGCGGAAACCCCCTCCCCCTCGGTTAGTCTGTCCCCGGTGTACACAAAACCTTAATTTTCCGACACACGTTCTCTGTTCGCTGTTGGGCGCGTGCTCCCAACAGAACTGCCCCGTGCGTAGAGATCAGGCAGGGCGCACCCCTAATTGAATGGTAGGGGAAACACTGCTATCACCCCTTCTACATTCACTTTTTTCTGAACCCCCCCTCCATGCTGTGCCAGAATACCTCCGTAGATAAACTGTATGGACTACAGACAATATACCGGGGGATAATCTACAAAACAAATTTGACAAAATGAAATAATGACACGTCTGCCAATATAATATATAATATTTGCGTACTTACTAAGAAATGCGACCAAATGTGCCAGAGCTTATTGCATCCTATTAAACGCTTCAAATATCTCTGAAGCAGTTTGCAGCGTGATTTTGCTCAATTTCATCAGCAAGCTCTAAGCTTTAAGAACTAAGTTGTGCAAATTAAAATATCCAAACAGTCCTAATTGGACCCAATGGTCTGCTTAATGGCTACGGCTGTGTTTCACTATGTGTTAAAACGCCTTAACATGCTGCATTAATGCATTAATTAAAGGGATGCTGGTCTCTAACATGCAGCGGTCCTTGCGGCCCATAATTCACTGGCCCTCCACAAATGGACCGGGCTGTCATTCTCTAATTAGATGTAAACATGCCCCTATAAGCACAGCTGATTTCTTAAAAAAAAGGTTGGCCAAAGGTTTAGTGTAGGCTGCCAAAAAAAGCAGGATTGTATTATAATTTCTTAATAAAAGAGATTTGGGAGTTTGAGTGGGGAGATGAATTCTCCTCTGGCATGCAACACACCGTGGGTTTAATTAATTTTAACATTAACTTGATCTTTGGGGCAACTTGTCTACACTACAGAAATCGAGGCCTTAATTGGCTCGTTTAACTTCACAACGTAAACCAAGGCAACAAGGCAACCGTGTAACATCTGTGTACTCTCTCCCTTTGTTGTGCGTGTTAGATTTTATATTTATTTGTATAATTTCCGTTGCCTGCTTTAGAAAAACTCCTAATTACAGCATTCTCGGGGTGAGTTCTGGCCGCCGAGACATTAATAATACATCCGGCCCCTTAGACATTGTGAATATGGCGTGCACAGCTCTTTATCAAATTCATTCTGTATTTAGAGCGTGCTTGACTTCGCGGCGGGAGGACTCTTAACTTCCATTGTTGGAGCTCTGACAGAGTTTGAGCATTGCGTCAAGTCAGACTTAGAGGGTTGTATTAACCCGGGGCTGATGAAAACTCCTGAAGCACTGCAATTACAACAATTAAATCCTGCCTGAGGGGGCGGAGGGAGTGGGGGGGCAAAGAAAAGGAAGGGCAAACTGATTGCGCAGCACAACAAGAGAAAACGACAACAACAAAGCCTCTTGTGATTCTATCTGCTAGTTTGCTTAATCATATGCAATATGATTTGTCTGTTTGTTTTTTCATAAATCCCTTTACAACACAACCAGGCCTTTTTTTCCACATGCACACTCACTGCAATACAAAGCTACAAAGTTTAAAAAAGGATCCTCTAATGAGAAGAGGAAGAGGCGATGGTGGAGCACATTTAGATATGGACCTTCATCTTAGAGTCAGGGGCTGTTTTAATTTGTAAGCAAAGAAACACACCATGGGGCCCCATGGGCTCACCACCTGTGGAGGAAACCGATGGGGTCGGGTGCGCTGCTACAAGGGTGGCAGTGACAGTGGGGGGTCTAGACGGAACAGACCTGGGCGGCAGATGCTGGCTCTGGGGACGTGGAACGTAACCTCTCTGGGGGGGAAGGAGCCGGAGCTTGTGCGGGAGGTGGAGCGTTATCAGTTGGATCTGGTGGGGCTTACCTCTACGCACAGCCTCGGCTCTGGAACCAAACTCCTGGATAGGGGGTGGACTCTATTCTACTCCGGAGTGGCCCATGGTGTGAGGCGCCAGGCGGGTGTGGGGATACTCATAAGTCCCCGGCTGAGTGCTGCTACATTGGAGTTTACCCCAGTGGACAAAAGGGTCGCCTCCCTACGCCTTCGGGTGGTGGGGGGGAAAACTCTGACTGTTGTCTGTGCATATGCACCAAACAGCAGCTCAGAGTATTCGGCCTTTTTGGAGACCCTGAATGGAGTCCTGCATGGGGCTCCTGTAGGGGACTCCATAGTCCTACTGGGAGACTTCAATGCGCACGTGGGCGACGATGGAGATAACTGGAGAGGCGTGATTGGGAGGAATGGCCTCCCTGATCTGAACCCGAGCGGGTGTTTGTTACTGGACTTCTGTGCTAGTCACGGATTGTCCATAACAAACACCATGTTCGAACATAAGGATGTTCATAAGTGTACGTGGTACCAGAGCACCCTAGGCCAAAGATCAATGATCGATTTTGTAATCGTATCGTCTGATCTGAGGCCGCATGTTCTGGACACTCGGGTAAAGAGAGGGGCAGAGCTGTCAACTGATCACCATCTGGTTGTGAGCTGGGTCAGAGGATGGGGGAAGACTCGGGACAGACCCGGTAAACCCAAGCGTGTAGTGAGGGTGAACTGGGAACGTCTGGAGGAGGCCCCGGTCCAAAAGATTTTCAACTCACACCTCCGGCGGAGCTTCTCTCACATTCCTGTGGAGGTAGGGGACATTGAACCAGAGTGGTCTATGTTCAAAACCTCCATTGCTGAAGCCGCGGCGGTGAGTTGTGGCCTCAAGGTCTTAGGTGCATCAAGGGGCGGTAACCCTCGAACTCCGTGGTGGACACCGGTGGTCAGGGAAGCCGTCCGACTGAAGAAGGAGGCCTTCCGGGTTATGATATCCGGTGGGACTCCAGAGGCAGTTGCAGTGTACCGACAGGCTCGAAGGGCAGCAGCCTCTGCCGTGATGGAGGCAAAGCAGCGAGTATGGGAGGAGTTCGGGGTAACTATGGAGAAGGACTTTCGGTCGGCACCAAAGTGTTTTTGGAAGACCATCCGGCACCTCAGGAGGGGGAAACGGGGAACCATCCAAGCTGTGTACAGTAAGGATGGGACCCTGTTGACCGCGACTGAGGAGGTTATCGGGCGGTGGAAGGAACACTTTGAGGAACTCCTGAATCCAACTACTACGCCCTCTTTGGTGGAGGCGGAGCTGGAGGCGGAGGAGGGATCATCGTCAATTAGCCTGGTGGAAGTCACTGAGGTAGTCAAACAACTCCGCAGTGGCAAAGCCCCGGGGATTGATGAGATCCGTCCAGAGATGCTAAAGGCAATGGGTGTTGGGGGGTTGTCTTGGATGACACGCCTCTTCAACATTGCGTGGAAGTCTGGGACAGTGCCAAAAGAGTGGCAGATCGGGGTGGTGGTACCCCTCTTTAAAAAGGGGGACCAGAGAGTGTGTGCCAATTACAGGGGTATCACACTACTCAGCCTCCCGGGTAAAGTCTACTCTAAGGTGCTGGAAAGGAGGGTTCGGCCGATAGTCGAACCAAGGATTGAAGAGGAACAATGCGGTTTTCGTCCTGGTCGTGGAACAACGGACCAGCTCTTCACTCTTTCCAGGATCATAGAGGGGGCTTGGGAGTATGCTCAACCAGTCTACATGTGTTTTGTGGACTTGGAGAAGGCGTATGACCGGGTCCCCCGAGAGATACTGTGGGAGGTGCTGCGGGAGTACGGGGTGAGGGGGTCCTTGCTTGGGGCCATCCAATCCTTGTACGCCCAAAGCGAGAGCTGTGTTCGGGTGCTCGGCAGTAAGTCGAAGGCGTTTCCGGTGGGGGTTGGCCTTCGCCAGGGCTGCGCCTTGTCACCAATCTTGTTTGTGGTCTTCATGGACAGGATATCGAGGTGTAGTCGGGGGGAGGAGGGTCTACAGTTCGGGGGGCTGCGGATCTCATCGCTGCTTTTTGCAGATGATGTGGTCCTGATGGCATCTTCCGTCTGTGACCTCCAACTCTCACTGGAGCGTTTCGCAGTCGAGTGTGAAGCGGTCGGGATGAGGATTAGCACCTCTAAATCTGAGGCCATGGTTCTCAGCAGGAAACCGATGGATTGCCTACTCCAGGTAGGGAATGTGTCCTTACCCCAAGTGAAGGAGTTCAAGTACCTCGGGGTCTTGTTCACGAGTGAGGGGAAGATGGAGTGTGAGTTTGGCCGGAGAATCGGAGCAGCGGGGGCGGTATTGCACTCGCTTTACCGCACCGTTGTGACGAAAAGAGAGCTGAGCCGGAAGGCAAAGCTCTCGATCTACCGGTCAATCTTCGTTCCTACCCTCACCTATGGTCATGAAGGATGGGTCATGACCGAAAGAACTAGGTCACGGGTACAAGCGGCCGAAATGGGTTTCCTCAGGAGAGTGGCTGGCGTCTCCCTTAGGGATAGGGTGAGAAGCTCAGCCATTCGCGAGGAGCTCGGAGTAGAGCCGCTGCTCCTTTGCGTCGAAAGGAGCCAGTTGAGGTGGTTTGGGCATCTGGTGAGGATGCCCCCTGGGCGCCTCCCTAGGGAGGTGTTTCAGGCACGGCCAGCTGGGAAGAGGCCCCGGGGAAGACCCAGGACTAGGTGGAGAGATTATATCTCTGCACTGGCCTGGGAACGCCTTGGGATCCCCCAGTCAGAGCTGGTAGATGTGGCCCGGGAAAGGGAAGTTTGGGGTCCCCTGCTGGAGCTGTTGCCCCCGCGACCCGACCCCGGATAAGCGGTTGAAGATGGATGGATGGATGGAGAAACACACCAGCAATGAGATTTTAATTGACACACATAAATAATTCCATGTGTACATTCACACTTGAATAAGATGTTTATTTGACGATTGAAATGAGTAATTATCGTGATTCGTGTTGAATGTATTCATTAAATTGCTCCCGCCTAATATCTTCTAAACCACTACCAATTAATTATGTCAAAATCCACATGAAACTTGAACTTACACGTTAAGGTTTGCCTGGCGTTTGTTTTCTCGGCAAGCCAATGGCTGCAGTGACAAAAACTACAAAAGAAGGAATGAAGGGGAAAGTGAGCCCTTCGATTCCTCAGATGAAGAAAATGAAGGCTGTCTTTCACTGTGACAGAGCCTGACTGCTGACATGAAACCTTCAGCTTTGGGTTTCTGTTTTAGTCCCTGCTGTTCGGAGGACTGGGCTTAGATTCAATAATTGTACAGCTGTACTTAATCAACCCATGTTCCTACCGGCTCGTTCCACTGCGAGCGAGCCAAAAGTCTGAGATTGGTTATGCGGAGTACATCATCATGCTCGTGTCACCTGATGTTAGGTTGCCATCGCGGACGATCCCATTTCATGACACATTGGAAGAGGAGGAGGTGATAACAATTGCTGTCTCACACGTCTGCCAATCAGAGGAGCATATCTCCACTGTAAAATCCATTGGGGGGGGGCGTAACATGAAGGTTGAAATGCATGAAAATAATGATTGAATCAGCGAAATGATGAGAAATGACACCTACTTGAAAGCTGCGGAAACTCCGGGTTGTCTGGACTCGTGTTGGCAGTCAGGTCCTGTAGGAAATGTTTATACCTGCAGCAGAACAGAAAATAAACAAGGATGACGCTCACCATCTAAAAACAGGATTACACAACATTCTTTCAAATTTAGAATATGATCAGATTTGAGGTTGATTGGATACTTTCTGTAAGCCTGCAAACATATGCCATTTCATCAAACGTAAAGCTTTGGATAACTTTTAATCATCTTCAATATATTGACCAAATTTGGAGTGGATCTCAGATAGTGTCCAAGAGGAGTTTGCTAAGTACAGCTAAGACAGCCAAAACTGGCCAAATGGCCAACTTTGTTTGGTTTACAGCATAGCGCCAATAAACTTCTTTTACAAGTCTCCATTTGACAACATTCCATAGTTTCGCCTAAATTAATACAGCTGGGGCTGCTCTTTTGATATATACATACGGTAAAAAAAAGAACGGTATTTTTAGTAATAACTTTTGACACATGTTCAAGCTCCGTGGGTTTTCAACCATCCTAATTAACTGAAAAATATATTCCATATAATAAAAGGGGAACGTTTTTCTTTAACAGAATTTGAGGTTGATCACGTCAACTGGCTACAAGGATTACATCAAAGTAGAAAATTTGTAATATCAAAATTTTGGGGGTGGAAATGTATCTTGCATGAGAAATTTAGGGCAGATTTTTCATTTACAACTCCTCCTTTTGTGAGATGGGTGTAAAATGGCACTACTACGCCGGTCGTCCAACGAAAACTCACGGTTTTGATAAAAAAAATGTAATCAGGTATTTAGATTGTCCTGACCATTTTCAAAGTTGACCAATACTCATGCATATATTTTGTGGCAGTTTGTTGAAATATTACAGCTGAAAAAGACTAAAAATGCCCAAAGATGCTAAATATTGCCGACTGAATGCGTTGCCTCCTAGAGGTGGAATAGAATGAAAATGTCAGGGTATGTTACAGTATGCAATGTGGCCATAGGCTGCAAATGTCATGATTGGGTTTGAGTTAAGTGTACTAGAGAGACACGTCCTTATGAAGTTCATTGGTGTATAACATCAATGAATTGCCAATAAAGCATTTATTTGCTAGTAGAAGAAAAAACTTCCCCATTCCCCAAACTAGCCCATTGCTGTGGCGCATCACATCACCATGGAAAAGGAAGCTCACTGTGCTTTTCATCTTCCATAGGTAGTGCTTTTTTTTTTATTTTTTTTTTACATCGGTTACATCCATTACATTGAGACATAAAACACATTGTTTAAATAGGAGTTATTAACATCCCTCCTGCAAAGATAACGTTTCTATCTGGAAAAGACAATGTTGAATGTTAAAACGTCAGCGACAGACTTACACTTAAAACAGTAATGTTACTATCAAGTACTTGTATTAGAAACTCATAAGAAAATACTCAAATGTTAGTGGTCTTAAAAAAAACACGAGTTGTGCACTAGTGCTCCATTTCTACATGGCGCATTACTGCAAGCTCAAAAGATAGATGACTGACGTTGATGCTTGCTAACCCCAGTTTCTCTTGGTTACAGCTTATCGGCCACAGCAGAGCAGTGGTCACGGAAATGAACGTGTAAGTTGGTGGTTTGAGAGTCCTTCACCAGTGAAACCATCATGCAGAGCTTGCAAATTGACTGCATAATACTGATGGGCCTAAAACCGAAAAAATGCGATATCCCATTTTGCTTGCAATCTGACAAATTACAATTCTAATTTTGTAGATTATAAAATATATTATATATGATATGTGGATATATGGAGCTGAAGAAAAAGAGAAGGGATGCATTTTTTGGTGTATAATTGTATGTTGTAAAACCACAAAGAGTACATTTGGCATAATAAGTGAACACAAACTGAACAAAGAATATATCCAGCCTGATTAAAAATTTAAAAGGACATTTCATAAAATGCAATCTAATTGTGGTGAAGTTAAGTAACTCGTTGCCCTATTTTAAGTTTGCATCTAAAGTAATGGTTGTGAAGAGAGTCACCTTCCCCAGTTCCCGTTTTTTGTAGGATGATGTGACCTACAAGTGCATTGACAATGGACATTGATTTCCACTGTGTCTGCCTTTTCCCTCGTTGTACCGTCTGGACTTCTTTTAGAGACATTGTGGTGCCGGTAAGAAGGGCTATTAGTGACACTAGAAGGCCACACACCACTTCTGCTGGTCGACGTGGTGGCATGAGGAGGATGTGGCATGTGTAATGTAAAAAAGGTGTGTGTAGAGGCAGCGCGTGGAGAACAGAATGACACAATGGTGGCTCTTCAAGTTGCACTTGGAAAAATGCTTGCTGAACCAAATTTTGTATTTACTTGCATTCAGAACTCTATTGAAATATTTGGGTAAATACTAAGGCTTCAGTCCATTTTTTACCCTTCCATTATATTGGTACTAGTACACACTCATTATAATACGGGTAGATGAAATCCAGCATTCTGATTGGTTATGAGTGAGTCAAGGGGTGTACATTATTGAGCCATAATGTACAGTACCTGTTTACACTGACCTGAGCATTCCATGTCACTGCGCACTCAAAATATTAGTTAGATTTTGCGCTACCGGTAGTTGTTGTTTCAGTTTCAGTCACCGAAAAAAGACCGGAAACACCACAAATGATCGGTTTGGGGCAATGCGAGCTTTCGCAACCGGATAATTAAGGTGGACATCATGAGCAATGTGAATAAATAAGATGGCAAGGCTCGACGCTAATGTTTTCCCCAAGGAGTACATGTGCTCCTAAATGAAAGAATTTAGGAGCACATCAAATGAAAGAATTTAGGAGCACACAAAGAAATTTAGGAGCACAGTGTTTTTTTGAAATTGTATTTGTTTAATAAACAAATTTCATGCATATACTGCGCTTAAATGCAAAGGATATCAGTTGTCCAGATGCTTCTATAGGCCTATGTAACAGATGTGTTTAGGGCATGGAAGTAGTCGACTCAGGTACTGATCTTTTCAGCATTTATTTGCTCCTGCAGAAGACAATAAAACACAGACATTGCCTTCTGGTCTCCGCACATCAGCTCCCTACACACAGGGTCTTCAACAGTGTAACGCTACTGTGCAGGAAAAACGGGACTACCGCAAAATCTAAATTATAGCTTGTCAAAGATCCAAATTGTGACAAAAAGGGGAGAACAACCCCAAGTGAACAAAATAAATAACAGTGACTGCAAAAATTCCAGCATTAAAACAAAAGAAAACACATACCTGCAGAAGACAATAAAACACAGACATTGCCTTCTGGTCTCCGCACATCAGCTCCCTACACACAGGGTCTATAGAGGGGAACGTATACGTCAGGACGACCGGATGTAGCGAGTACAAACGGCGCGAAATTAAACAATGACCAAATGTATACTTTTATCACCACTCCATCGTCTAGAATAATGACGCACCACAGCTGAGAACCGTGGTCATGTTACCCACGCTAATGGTAGCTGATGTTAACAGTTATATTTAAGAACATCGCAAAATAGTGCGACGTCGTTTTTCTCTCAACTTACCTTCAACAGTGTAACGCTACTGTGAAGGAAAAACGGGACTACGGAAACCTAGGAGGCGCAGGAGAGATGCAATTTCCGCAAATTTGACTCATCAAAATAAAATTCACACACACACGTTCAACAAGATTGTTGAATAATAACCCAAAAATAAAATACAATACTTTGAAACAGACAGTGTATTTCTAACTCCGTTACACCTATATGTTCTCCCTCTGCTGGCTCCAGTGGACATTGAAGTCGTGGCAGTTGGAGTCACCGTAGTCGGTTCGCCAAGGTTGTTCTGAGCTTCTGGCTTCAGTTTCAGCTCTAAATCTTGTGAAGAAACCTCTTTCATGTTAGTTGAATCTTCCAAATTGCCCTCACCTGATTCCTTTCTCTTCATCTCCTTTTCGCTTAAAATAAAATTTGATGTTCTTCATTTTGATGTGTGCAATGTTTAATTGTCTTTTAATTCCTGCATTTTATTTCACTTTATTGTATGAAATGTTATGATGTGAAGCACTTTGAGTCTGCCTTGTGTATGAAAAGCGCTATACAAATAAAGTTGCCTTGCCTTGCCTAAACTTCACTTGGCTCACTTAAAATCCAGCAGTTCCTGCTCATTCCCACACTATTTCAATGATTGGCAACAACGTCTGCGCAGCGTGCGGAGGAGGAGGAGGAATTGGTTCGTAAAAAAAAAAAAAAAAAAGCAGTGGCTCAGTAATTTGGAGATGGTTCGGATTTAAAGTATCCGATGAGAAACAAAATAACATTATATGTAGGGAGTGCCATAAACAGGTTACAGACAGGGGTGGAAGCACTTCAAATCTTTTTCACCACCTAAAACAACGGCACAAACTGCAATACGAAGAGTGTGAAACTGCGCGCTACAGAAGCCGCATGCCAGAAACAACCCGAACAAGCTCCAGCCCCAAAACAAAGCTCACTGCAAACCTCATTTTCCCGCAGTGTGCCTTATGAAAAGAAAAGTGACAAGTGGTGCACTATAACGAAAGCGGTGTCCTATCACATTGCTAAAGACATGGTCCCTGTTGCAACTGTTGAACAAGTCGGATTCAAAATGCTCCTGAAAACGATGGACCTGAGATATGAGCTTCCCAGTTGCAACTACTTTGCAAGAGAAGAACTAATACATAATATTATTTGAACGGCTGAGCATTTGTTTATTGTTTAATTTAATTTATTATTTATTCCTTTTTATTTATTTGATTTTATTTGAACTCCTTACTGAAATTGCTGGTTTCAATTAAACGACTAATGACATGTCATATTTGGCTTTGACATTTGCGTTCAGGTTTTCTTCCCGTTAATGTGGAGAAAATATCGGGATATATACCGTATATCGATATCCAACCAAAATGTACCGGGATATGACTTTTGGTCTATATCGCCCAGCCCTACTCTGGCCAGGCCCGGAGTGGGGCCACTTTTCAGCCGGGAATATTAGGCCCAAGACCGGCCCACTTTTTCCATTGTAGTGGAAATTGGATAAATGAAGCACAAACAGTTCAGCTCTTA